CCGCCCCTCACCCCCCACCTCTTCGCCCTCCAGCTCCCGGCCAGGCCCGGAACCAGGCATGGTCTATGTGGTGTTTCGGGAACCAAGGGGACGTAAGTTTCGACGACGGTTTTTTGAGAAGAGGCTTTTTGGGATTCCGGGGTTGGGCTTTTGATCTAGCACACTGAAACTTTACACCAAGATGGGTTTGAGTATTTTAGGTCAGGTTGATACGAATATGAAACTACTTTCGTAAGGGATGCTTGGCTCTGGGGCCAGGGATGATTTCATGCGCCTGTGCGTCAACGCCCTTGCAGCTTGAGCATGACAGAGGCCCTGATCTACGGAATGTTTCCCCACCTACCCCCTACCTCGTCTTTGAACGCACCTTTCGGGTAGCCCTAAACCCTATACCCCCCTAACTCCAACACCCTTGTACGGGGATCTGGGAGTTCTTCGGCATGGGACTTTTTGCGTTTGACAAACCGCCTTGCGCGCGCGCGCGCGCGCGCGCGCGCAGATGGCACAGGGTGACGCTCGACCAGGTTTTCTAAGGCCGGGTCATATGCTCCAAACCTTCCCAAGTTAAGGATGTAAATGATGCTACGTGCAAGGATGACAACTTTCTCCCTGCTCGTTTTCGGGACATGATTGAAGGTGGTACTTGTGATGGCTTTGCTGGTAAGGGATGGAACCATGATGAACGCGGCATTGCAGTACCGCATAGGACCAGGATACGTCGAAGGGCGGACGAAGCTCACTCAACATGAAGTCTCGCACAACCTCGCTGGTTCTGGGTCGCGTGTCCGGCCCGTTCGGGTGCTCTCGAACCTGGATGGGCCATGGAAGCCATCCCAGAGGGCTCACCGAAAAAGCCAGAGGGCTCACCGAAAAAGGCTTGCCATGGGCTCCTTCCCCAAAGGGTGCCGCCAAGAAAGAGGTTCACACTAACCGTCCCCAGGTCGCTGGAAGGCACTCCAACACGGTCAACCGCGAGGCCTGGATGGCCTGGCCCCACCAATCTCCCAAAAATCCAGTTGTACGAGTGGTTACGCACACAGGGCCAGCTGAGCTGCCTTTCGTGCCGGATAAATGGGATAATCGGCGGTTAACGAATCGTATCCCTAGTCACCAACTTCCGGCTATTGACCAGCCCAATCCAACCAACCAACCAACCAACCAACCAACCAACCAACCAACCAACCAACCAACCAACCAACCAACAACACACACACACACCCATACGCACATGCACAAGCACATGCACCCACGCATGCACGCGCAACCAGCGACATAGCATCTGCCACGCAGTATGTTGGTGGCGGATTAATTTCCTTTCTGCAGGTAGAACAAGGCATTTGGGCCTAGGGCGGCTTGCATGTCCGAATTCTCTGTCAGAATAGGCGGGTGATGGCGAGTGGTGCTAACTACGCTCGGCTCCCAAGTGCAATTCTATCTGTGAACCTGCGAAAGATTTGGTATTGTGTACATCACGTCTGCTTGCACGTTCACTGGGTTCCAGAGGGGTGGTGAAGGGAGGGAGCGGGAACATAAAACAGACCTCAACAAACGGAAACGAGCTCTGCAGAGTTATTCGCCTTTGCGAAGCCGTTCCAACTTTGCATGCGCCATGTCCGTCGATGTACGTGAAGGTCTGTCAACAAGCGCGTCTGAACCCGAAGCTCCTTCAAACCCCGAACCTCCCCAAGCCTGACATGCTACAAATTCATCTTGCGATATCAGTTAAGAGCTAACAATGCCTACTTCTCGATGTGTATGCGCTCGCGCGTGTGTGCACGCGTGCGTGTGCATGTGTACATACGCACGTGCATGTGACAGGCATTCCCCAAAAGAATCACATACATGCATGCATACATACATAAAATACAAACAGCACGCCATTGCATTGCTTTGCATTGCATACATTGCGCTGCGTTGCATTGCATTACACTCGATCATTGCCTTAAACTAAATACATGTGTGCACTTATTTGGTACATACAAATACATACACGTACATACGCAGATCGCATCCAAGCACAGGGTTAGGGAAATGCATTGAACCGCGAGCGAAATACAGCGTAATGCTTGATGCTAGTAGCTGCTAGAGCCAGCTGACCGAAACCCTCGCCTGAATTCACATGATATGCCTGCATTCGGATGAAAATCAACTTTATTGTACACAGTGAAAGACCTGTGTCGCATGGTGCAGGTCCCGGAACTTTCAGCGCCTCTGCCAATGGCTCTGATTCGCTCTACGCGCCCCACTCGAACGTTGGCAGTAAGCCTCGTCCAGTATCAGCCGATGCCTGAGGCACTCTGAATCCCAAGCATCGCACCGGTGCATTCGGCACGCATGTGTGGAACTCATTCTGATAGTTCGTGATGGATTCTGAGCTCTGCACCTTGCCAGCCCCTGATTCAAAAAGAATGCTCAGCCAAATGCTCTTGAGAGGCAGCTTCTACTCTGAACTTGCATGGCCTCTTCCCAGCTCCTGCACGGAACAGCAAGAGTGGATAAGAATGGTCAACCCTTCTTGAAATTTCGAATTTGCTTCTGGCAACCGCAGACCACCATGAGTCACTGCGATGCACTCGAATGAATGTACAACCGCTTGGCTCTGCTTTTGCGTTTTTCCTGCGTAGGCTGCTGCGGTCTTCCATGCCTGACACCCGAGTTGTCACGGCTTATCGCGACCATTTGCAAATCAGAATACAAGCCGCTCGGAGAAGTCTGCAGGTGGCAGGAGCGGATGCATTTAAGTGGCTTGAGCGGCGAATGCAAGCGCCGTAAAAAACAACACTTTCACAGGGCAAAAACAAAGCACATCTGAACAGGGTTTTGTGCACTTTTCCAGGCCGTTAGCAAAATATACTGCACACAGCCCCTTGCCCTCACCAAGTGCATTGTGCTCGCTCCTTTCTTTAATTCGCTAATGCTACTAAGAGCCTGCGAACGGGGATTTAACAGACAACCGCCGCCTATGACCAAGAATTATTGACCATTGACTGCCAAGGAAGAAACTATCCAAGAAGAATTCTATCCTTCTTGGTGTTTTGAACTACGGGGCCCTTATACAAGATCGCGCCATCTCACGCAACACATGAATGACGGAAGCTGGCCAATCCTACCTGAAGCTGCAGTCCCCTTCAGATAGGGACGAGCAGCATGCATCATAAGGTATCACTGGCGCAGCAAGCTTGTCCGTCTGCATGAATTCATGCTAACGTGTGCTGAAAAATGTTTGTGACATTCCGCTTGTACTGCCTGTAGTGGTCGACATTCTGCCCTTCAAGCATAGCTGAAGAACTAGAGTAGCCACGTAGCCTCCAAAAGGAGTCCTTGCATTCCGACTCGGCCAGCTCATGCTGTGCGATTGCTTCTCAAGAACCATCTTGTCGCAGAGCTCTTGCTGACCGTAGTGGGCGCATGTGGACGCAGAATGGCGCGGAATCACGAATAATCCACCACTGGCAGGTGCCGGATATGCCATTGCTCAGTCAAGCAAGAGAGGCATGCACAGCCACAGCAATCAAGACGCTGACGCAATCTGCATGCGAAAGGCCCTATCAAGATTTAAACATAAATGTTTGGAGCAAGATATCGTCTTCCTTGTACCAGTACTCATGCTCAACTCCAATTTGCAGCTGTCTAATGCGGCCTTCTGCTTGCGCTTCTCCAGACGCGATGTGATCTTCCTGTGTATTGCCTGCCAAACACAAGGCAGCAGGACCACTCTGTCATTGTGACGCAGAAAAAAGTGGCGAGCAGAACCATTTTGCAAGACCCCCGAATACCAACATGAGGCACAACTGCAAGTCAGAGAATTTCCCACTTCATTTTAACGGGGTTCTAAACTTGATTCACAAACGTGATAACGTGACTTGCCAGAGATCGGGATCTTCTGATATTGCGCTCAACATCATCATCAGAGAAGGCCCTGCAGGTTTACATCGTCCTGGATGAACAAAGCAACCAAGCTGAAGCCCTTTCTTGAGCACGTAAGGTCTTGCAATCCCTAAACCTTGTACACACCCTATGCAGTGGGATCTAAGAAACGGACCCTATTCTGTATTCAGCTGATTGGTTTTTCAACTTCATACGTGACGACAAAGCTGTTGATGCTGATGATGTTTATCGATTCCAATAATCTCCTCGATGCACAATCCAGACTCCAAAATGAACCCACATTCCATCTCTGACCCTGGAGCCACCCACTTCCAGGAGGCAACCCTCCTGCTATGCGGAAAGAACGGTAGGTTGTTGCCTCAAGTTCACGCTCGAGCACGTCTCGGAAGAAGCGAACCTTGACAGACCAAGAAGCATGAGAGTCGTAAGAAACAACATCGCATACCGCAACATAAACCACTCAAAGATTGGCTCGCTGGTCTTAGCATCGCACATCCACCTCTTCTGAACACCGACCAACAAAGTGAAGCTGCCTGCACGCATGCGAGCTGATCTCGGTGTCTCATTACAGCCGTTCAAGATCACATTTGTGATGGGTCGTGGTTGTGCCATGTGTGTTACCCACCCACGCGCTCATGCCAAGGATGAAGCCACACAAGCAAATGCTACGTGCAACATGGCCTGGTGCCCGCTCTACCGTTCATCGAAAAGGTACAAGAATCGGAGCAAATTTTACCGAATGTTTGCGGTGGCTTCTCGTGTGTGAGGGTTGGGGGCCTAGGGGTGTCGTGGAGGAGGGCTGGATGAGAGAGGGGGGTGGGGGGTTGGGTGGAGGGCGGGGCGCGGACGGAGGTGACCGATTCAATGGCTCGTGATTTCCCGGTTCTTGGCTGGGCTGGCGGTCCAGTTTCGGCTGTTCGGCTCGCGACCTTTCTGAAGTTTTCTGAAGTGACGACAGTCACGAGATGTCGCGAGGATGGCGACCCCGACATTCACCATAATATTGCTTCTAAGCACGGACATGCACATTCCATGCACATTCCTTCTGACAGAAGGTTCTACTGAGTCTACTGCTGCTTTCAGTTAGTCCACAAAATGGTCTTGCGCGTCACCTAGGCCAGTGTGGACTGCAGATGTAACTCGGGCCTGCCCGAGGCTCGCGGAGCCGTGCGGTCCTGAAACAACACACATGAACACACAAAAGCAGTCCCTCTCCCAATAGTCGAGGGAACGAAGGGAACACGCTCCTTGAGTTGAAGGCTGTCACCCAGTATCCAGAGTCCCTGCAGAAGTAAAAAGACATGAATTTATTGGCTTTGCTCGTATTCTGTTGCATTTCACACGCCCAAGGCCTTGAGTTTGGCTTCGGCCTTCATCTTCTCCAGCCCAGACCCATCAGCTCCGACCTTAAGCTCTACGTGCCACAGAATGCGCTGTCCATTCCCGAGCTATTTGAGCCTCTCTGACGCCCATCAAACGCGTGTGATCCAACGGAACTTCGCGGTGACGGTGCATGGCTGTACATACAAGCTTGAAAAACCATGTGCTCTTTATCCTTGTTGCACTTCAGAATGCGAGTGCCAACAACTTTCCAAAAAGCTGGGCTGTACGCCAACTCTGACACCAAGTTGAACCTCAGCACGAGAGGGGAAACGGCGAGCGCAAGAAGGGCCCAGAATCGGAATGCAAGTGGGTTGACGTCCATGGGGGGGTGGACCCCTGGACACTAAGGCGAGTCCAACATTGATAGCCGCTGCAAGTTTGTGTGCCTTTGTGCGAGCCCTCCGTAAACACGGCATTCCCACCTGTAGCAGTTGTTCTTGCGCTGCAAGATTCGCTCCGACCTGGCATTGTTCATGGCGAAGGTGAAAATTGTTCAAGAAGTGCTCGTTGCGGCTGTTCTTCTCAAAAACCATGCCACAGGAGGGCTCAGACCACGTGCCGGCCAAATCGGTGGGGTCTGCCTTGCATCTTTGCACCGGCCATCCGCGCAAGATGACATGCAACATGATGAAAGGTGGATGAGGCTTTCGTGTTTAGCCGCACGAGCGCATGCGAAACGCTCTTCAAGCCATGATGGCCGATATCATGACATCTTAGCCCGATCTTCGACTCGACAGGGTCCGACCCAGGGGACTGAGTACACTATCCCACACCGTGCCACTTGAACGAAACTACTGCTACTGCTGACTCACCACACTGGTTCTTTCTGGCTACATATTCCGAACACAAAGGTACTCTCCGGAATAAGCTTCTCCGCAGCAGCCCACAAGCTGAAGCGAAATGTGGACTGACTATGGTTCAGCATTCTCACCGACCTGGGCTGGTCTCTTAGTGTCCAGCAGTGATCGGCAAGGAGCCAAAGATACGTGGACACGCTCATTTGCCGGTCACGATGGGCACGACCAGAGAAGCCGGCGTTGATGAATGTACGAGGCCAAGTCTTGCGACAGCGAGCATAGAATACATGGCAAAACGGCAATGATGCCAGTGTAGACCCCAAACAGGAGAGACCATGTGGAAACGCAAGAGCATTCCAAGGGTCCTCCAAACATACACCAAGAGCCCTCCGCGCACTCCAGACAACATTCCGGCACTCGGAGAATATCCTTCAAGAGAACTCCAACAGCATCCCAAGAGCTCGCTACGCTTCGTCGTGGGACACGAAAGAGCGACTTGGAGCCACCGGAGCTCCAAAAGTTCTCCCTGTACTACCTTTGTACTACAAAAGACTGACTTTCGAGCCGCTCGAGCTCCGGACGTCCTCTGCGTGCTACCTTTGTACTACAAAAGGTCGACTTTCAAGCCGCCGGAGCTGCTGCGAACCTCATTGGTGGCCCTTGCGGAAAGAACATACGAGGAGATTCTGATTATGAAGCCTAGACGATGCTCCCGGATGAGGTCGGGAGCTCCGTTGGACATCACCTGTGAGATATGCAGTGTCCCAGCCTCGTCAGGGTCCGCAGGCGTCAGCGCTTCTATGCACCGCAGCGCGTCGCGATGATGCTTGAACCGTACGTACCTGCCAAAGCAGCTCCACACGTCTTTGGGATTACGATCACCCGGTCCAGACAAACAAAGAGACGACCTCGCAATTAGATGCAATTAGAGGAGTTTGAGGCTGAGCGCCTCGGGCCCACAGCGCTTGACTTCAGTTTCCCTCCGGACCCTAGTTTTGCAAAAAAGAAGGCAAATGAAGGCAAATGAAGGCAAGATTGGCCGGTCAGTACGAGGGCGCCCTTCATTGGTGGGCTCGATGGCGAAGGCATCCAAGATAAGGTGCAAATCATCAACTTCTCCGAAGCCCTCGCAGGCAGGTCCATGACAAACGCAAGTTCTTTGTAAGCCATGGCATGGAAAAAGTTTTTTCGTGCCTCGAAATACTCCTGCAGCTGCTGACGCGTCATGTCATGCCTGTGAAAGCGCTCTTGCGCAACATGCTGCAAGAGAACACGGCCAGGCATGGCAACGACCCTGTCCCCAACTTGCAACCCCACGATTGAGAAGACAAAAAACTTCATCCAAGGCCTTGCGTTAAATAAACTTGTAGCAGCAATTTTGCTTATGAGAAGCAATGTAGCTGCTTTACCTGTTCAGAGGTCTGCTTTTCCTACGCAGAGTGCTCTGCAGCTTGCCATTGCCATGCACAACATACCCCACAGCGCAGGTGCATTCCCGGACAGAATGGCAACTCGCTTTCACAATGCGGCAGGCAAGGTTCATGAACGACTCTTCAGCAATTACTTGCTTGTAACATAGGCCGCGTGTCTTTTGAAATGTGTCGCTCGGCTTGTTCTGTTTTCAAAGGTTCGGCTTGGGTCTCCTCTCGTCGCACTCCAGTCTAGGCGCGGGCCTACCTGGAGACTTTGGGAGCGGCCGTTTTCCCAGGAAAAACCCTGTTTTATGCAGTGCCATTCTGGCCGAGCCCCCCGTGCACATTGTCTCGCTTTTTCATCGTGAAAAACAAGGTTTTTGCGTTGCACGACACAAGAAATCGCGTTCTGGCCTAAGCAAGCAGCACCTGAATTAGCGCTCCCACCCAGGTCGTTTGCACATTTTGCCACGTGTTGGCAACGACGCCCAGAACCGTCCTGGCTTCTGGGACCGATCGTGCACGTCGTCATGGTTGGGTTGAGAGTCTCGGGGGTGCAAACTTGAAGGCGTTAGGAACAGGGGATGTTCGAATTGGCAGTTTGGTTCTTTCCTCCCTTCCTTCTTTATTTCGTGGGGCGAAGGGGGAAACCCTAGAAGAGCCAGTGCGTAATGTTCTTTCAGCTTTGTTCTTTGCTGTTTATCTCTTCTATTGTTTTCCTCTCTCGCTTTCTCTCTCTTTCTTCTCTCGCTCTCGCTTGCTCGGTCGTGTCCGCTCGTGAGCACAGCTGCCATCATGCTCCACTTCCGTCGCGCCTCCTACTCATTCTAAACATCCACCAGACATCCAAATTCAAATCCAGCAAGCAGCAGGAAAACACTGAAAGATGCAGAAAGGGTCACAAAGACCTCGGAAGCGACCTTAATCAAGTAAGAGTCCGGCAGTGGCAAGTTCCGAACCTGCCGCCCAGCATAATGGTTTTGCGTGGTTTTGCGGGGCTCATGTCTTGAGTCAGGTACATACAGCTCGCGGTCTTCAGGTCCGGGCGCCACCTGCCCACTGAGCCAAGACATGCCAAGGCATAGCCACTCCAGCAGTACAAATAGTACAGCGAGCGCCGGTCCTCTGACGGTCTTCGGCTCAAAGCCAACTGGTCAACAAAAATGCTGACCTGGAAGCTCCCATCCTGGCAGGTCGCGCCAGAAACCCAAACCCCTGCATCGCACCAATGCGTAACAACTCAGTAAACCTGGCGGCATGCACATGAGACTACGGTCGCAATCTCTTTTCTAGGTTGGGGAACATGGCCGGGGGCGTCGCCGACCAGGAATTGCTGTGCCATCGATGGCAAGCCACAATGCACTCCTTGCAAGCCGTGGGATATGCCGATTCAAGTGCCCGGACTGTCCAAGTACGTCGGACCTCAACGAGATCACCATCACCAACCTTCGTCTGGTGCAAATTTGTCACAGCCTGGTGTGCGGCGATACATGTTTATCATGCTTCGCGCCACCGCCATTGCAGGCCAACGCGAAAACACTGCTCAGCTCTTTCGAAATCTGAATCTTTTTTTTCAGATGTGAGTTACAAATCTTGGCATCAGGCCTTGTCCATGGCTTGATTGTTCCGTAGCTTCACATACGCAAGCCGCCCGGAGGAACGCACCTCGCGGCAACGAACGCCGCTTTTGGGGGCTTGCCCATGTCAGACTTGGCAGTGGTCCACAAGCTGTTCGTGCGATTGCAGCAACACCCGAGTATACTCATCTCAATCAGCATCTTCCGCTCATGAGGGCTCACATGTTTAGCAACGGACTGGAACAGAGTCACCTCTAGACATGCCCACACAGTTACATTGGAAGAGGTTGTTCGAGGCCGATACTAAGCAAAGCAAAAAGATACAAAACAGTTGCATATGGTTGCACACTGCTCACAACGTTTCACAATGTTTCACAGCTTTCGGCAGTGGTCACAAGGGGAGACTTAGCCTCTCGTGACTGTCGATCTGTTCGTGCTTTGTGATCTTGGTAAGCTAGGCTTAGAACACAAACGTGTCAGCCTGTAGGGCCTTCTAAAGACATTTGATCTCCTGAGCCAAGCAGGCATTCATATGAGAGATGCCATACCTAAGCCGGCCTCGCCCGACACGCTGGCTGGAAGAGCATCCTTTTCCTGACACTGTTGGGGGGATCTGACCATATCTCGCACTGCATGACACCGCCGAGCATGCAACCGTCGCTAACTAGCGCGCAAAGCTGGACGAAGGTATCTTTGCCGAACTTCAATGGGTCAAGTGTCTCAGTAGTCTCATGGGCTCATTGATTATTGTTTGTCGAACTGAGTGACGACCTAGCACTCCGGTCCCTACGGGGCGACTTCCTGTGCTCTTGTCCTCATCCTCGATGAAGACAGACGAGAGGCCGCCAAATGGAGCAAACACAAATCTGCACACAGGACTGCAAAAGGTGGAGCGACAGAGATCGAGTGCTAAAATCGCAGCAGGCTTCACTGTCGCAGTAAGCAATGAATGCTGCCGCCTTGTGAGAACGATGCAGCTGATGCGTATCTCTTAACAGTGAAAGCTGGCAGTTTCTGCCATGTCTTTGTACACCCGGTCAGCCGGTACCTGGAACCATTGGCCTTTTGCACATATTGTCATATTATCTTGTTTCGGACACGTCGAATTACACATGGAGGCACTTAGTGGCTTAGTGTTCGAGATGGTTCAAGGAGCCGATGGCTTTCTTGGATTCATTGAAGCAGCTGGCAGCTTGAAAGCCTGGTCAATCCGGCGCATCCCGTCTGTGAGGTCTCTGTGGCAGCCGCACTCTCTGGTGAGGCCAGCACCAGCATCGAAGCCGCTTCCACCCACACTCCTCGCATGTGAGCTGGGCATGCTGCGATGGTTCGAGCATGCTTGCGCTTTACGGTGGGTTGAGAGATCAACCTATGAGTCTCGTGGCCACCAGTGAAATCTTAACTTTCAAGTCCAAAACAACTCAGACTTGAAAGTGCATGAAGATCCGTGTAGAAAATACAGCCCATTGTACCCATCGTACTTTACGTCTTTGGCATCTTCGGCATTTCGATGCAATAGAACTGTCAACTCAAGCAAATGTGTTTCTAACCTTACCATTAGCCTGAACTTAACACGTGTGTAGGGCAGACGCTCTCTTTTTTCCGCGTTATGCGTCTGGTGGAAAAGTAAAGGAAAAGGCAAAACGAGTCTTTCGCTGAGGCAGCAAATTGCAGCAGGCTTGGCTGCCTTTCGGCGCGCAAAACGGCAAGCTTGAGCTTAGAGCTTCCGCGAGTTAGAAGGCAAAGGCAGAAAAACACGCAGGAAAGAGAAACCTGAAGTTGTGCTCGGGAGCAGGGGAGTAGCTCGACGTCGTGTACGAGGCAAGTGAAGTCAAACATCCCGCGTAAGTCGCATCACCCCAGTAGCCCCCAAGTGGCCACCTCGGGATCCGCATCCCAACGGTGACCCCCAATCAAAAACAATCAAAACCCAACCATCGTACGCGGCCATTCCGCGATGCTCTGCCGGTGCTGCCGCGATGCGATCACACAACAAGAAAAAAACACGCACGCCAGACCACGTCTCTTGACGAGCATCTCCACAGAAACTGGCAGAAACGGCGGTGACCCTCGAACTCGAACTCGAACTCGAACTGCCCTGCGCCTGATCGGATAGCTGAATACATTTGGTCTTGAAACGCCCCTGCCCCCCTCCCTGGGGTAAGCTCGGCGGGAAAGCTTGGATTTTGGATTTTGTTGATTTGGGATTCTTCGACTTTTCACCGTCGAGATTAGTCCCAATGCATTCCTAGTAAACGAACAAATTTAGGTTGGTTTCGAAGTTTGCTTTTTTCATTGCTACATCTGCGTTTATTTGCAATCCCAGGCAACACTAGATGCCAAAAATGCAACAGCCAAACCTCACGTGAGGATCTCCAGAACAATTGGGATGTTTTGGAAATGTGGGTTTGCGAATTTCTGGGTTTTGGAATCTTTTTATTGGAGAATGGGTATCGCCTATGGCCTTCCTTCAAAACCAAACAATCAAAAGGACTGCCTTCAGCATCCCCACCCCCGCCTCAAATTGGGTAGCTTCTCTCAATTATTATCAGAGAGACCTCCCCCGCACCCGTAATGCAGCCATCCAAGGATCCAGATCTTGCTGACCTGACTGGCTTTGGAAATTTGCAATTATTTTGCCCTCCGGAAGAAGCGAAAGAAAGTCCTGGTCAAGGATGGCTCGACCCTCCGATCAAAGGGCTCGCGCCGCTTGAACGCCACAAGCAACAAGGAGAAACAAAGCGAGAAGCGACGATACGAGCAAATGCCAAGGCAAAAAAAAACAAACCAAAAGAAAAGGAAAAACGGAGAGCAAGAAGCCGAAGACCGTGAATGGCAAGAAGCGACAAGCAAAAAAAGCAAAAAGAAAAACAAGCAACCACGATAAGCGATTAGCAAGAAGCCAATGCCGACTACAAGACAGTCAAAGAAAAAAGCATAAGCAAGGAAATTAATTTACTTCGAACACCCCACCCTCTCTCGGTAGAGATACTCTGCTCCAGGGACACTCTGGGGCTGGGCACTCCGGGGACACTCTGAGGTTGGGCAGGAGACTGTGAGTTTGGGTACTCCAGAAAGACTCTGGGGCTGGCCCAGGGAGACTCTGAGGATTTGGGCAATTCAGGAGACTCTGAACCGGGGCACTCGGGGACATTCTGGGGTTTGGGGTTGGGCACTCCAGACAGACACTCTGGGGTTGGGCACGAGACTGTGAGTTTGGGCACTCCAGGCAGACTCTAGGGTTGGGCACTCCAGAAAGAAACTCTGGGGTTGGGCACTGAAGGAAGACTCTGGGGCTGGGCACTCCGGGGACACTCTGGGGTTGGGCACTCCAGGGAGACTCTGGGGTTGCGCACTTCCGGGAAACTCTGGCGTTGGGCACTCCAGGGACACTCTAGAGTTGGGCACTCCAGAGACACTTTGGGCTTGGGCACTCCAGGGATGAGCGAGGAGTAGACCGGGCGAGGAGAAGAGTTCCGGGCGAGGAGAAGAAGTTTAACATCTAACAACCCCACACCGAGGGTGGGGGGGAAAAAAGGAAAGCAAGGAATCAAAGGGGCGGAGATAGGAGACAAACACAAACAAAAAGAGAACAACCTCGGAACGGCAGGACAAGATTGGAGGGGAGGCAAGAAAAGCCCACACCCCAGAAAATGGGATATCATGTGTACATGTTTGTATACACCCCAGAATATGGCAATCATATACACATACCAGTACATATAAACATATGTGCATATGTATACGTATTCTGTGTGTCAACATCGGAATATGTCGCGGTGTCGGTGTCCCGCCCCCCGCCTCTGCTACATACGTTTGTCGCCCCGCATTGCGTCACACGTATGTCGCGGGCTTGTCGCGGGCTCCCAATGTCACAGGATAGTGCGAGGACGGAGGTTTGTCGCGCGGAGGCTTGTCGCAAGAAGAACGGCCTGTTACAGACCCTATGTCGCAAAACGACGCCCGGGACCTGTTACGCACATTGGTCTTTTTGACTCGCAGCTACGTATATAGTATACTTGAATATTTGCGCATGTAATCATAATATGCCATATTAAGGCAATGGAAGGAACACCGTTGTCACGGGCCCCCACCCCCACGGCTGGGCATAGTGGCTTGTGAAGCAGTAAACAAAAGCTTCTCGCAAGCAGAACAGTTTTGACACGATGCTTGTGCCTGTGGCAAGCCCATGTGCTTTTGGTCTGCACCCGTCTTTCAGACAGAGAGAAAGAGGAGAGAAAGAAAGCAAGAAAGAAACAAATGCGCTAGTCAGCTAGTCAACACAACTTTCCGAGTGCTACCAGTACGAGCTACGAACCGATGCTGCAAAGACTTTAACACGGCCTGTCACTGAGTTGACCAAAGCATGGCACTTCCAACAAGCATGGAGCATGGGGAACATTGGTCTCCGTGGCATCTTTGATGCCAGATGCTCCAAACCACCACAGCCCGCTAGCCTTAGTGGCAAACCGTGAAAGAGCACAGCGCCCAAGTGTTTTTCAACTGGGTGTTGTTTCGAATTTGCAACGTAGAACAACCCCCAACTAGCTAAGCTTGTGATTCGCCAGGTGCCGTACGCCAATGGAAAGCACGAGGAAGACCGTGGCCTGACTTAAACACAAGATGTATCAGTGCGGCATACAACTTACGAGGAAAAGCGAGAACCGATCAAGCTGCGCATATCTGAGATGTAGTACCCATCCGCTCGTGGAATGTGTATCCATCGCACGAGGTCCATCCTCGTAAGAATAGCTGAACTTTCCGCTCTCATGTTGGATTCTAAAAGTGGGATCCGTGCAGATACAGGGAAGGCGCTCCGCAGGCTCGCAATGGCCTCCGTGCGGTTGACGAGCATAATATACTTGCTGCACATGCGACAGCTGCGTCACGTGCTGAGCCTCTGAGAACGCACGTCCAGCCTTGCAAGCGAATCTGGACAGAACGGATTGCAGTGTGTCCCACAATGTCCAACACACAGCTTGCAGAGCCGGTGCAAGACGAAATTCCCGGGGAGGCGTTCAAAAATCATGCTGATTCCCCTTCTAGCCCAGAGTTCCAAGCTTTTGGCATGCAACAGCCCCCGCACAGGCAACATGAGCATTCAATCCCCCGTCCGGTCAAAATAAAGATGATGGGACGTTCGCCTGCGCTTGTCACTTGTTTCTTCGTACTAGGCGCTAGGCCTTTGAGCTTCAAGTCTGAACAAATTAAATTTTTAGTAGCGCAGGTGAGCCTGTCCCACAGTGTAGATTGCTTAATTGACTTCCAACTGTCAACACTACTGCATCTTCTTCCCAAGTGTATCATCCGTGTGATTGTGGAGAGGGATGCCCTGAGACAGCCAATTCATATCTCCTCACCTCCAATCTGCCATACTCAAAGGCCGTTGGCACGCGCTGTAGCCTTTACTTGGCTGAATCTTGCTGCAACCTTCTCTCCCCACAGCCTGAGTGGACAACGGCGAAGGCATCTGTGGACCCACCTGCGCAAGGAATTGTTGGTCAGGTTCTGGTTTAAGTACTAAACTTACATGCCCAACTACATGCACAAACGAAGCAAACAAGAAACATGCTTACTAGAAAGCCTAAAATATAAATCCCTACACCGAAAGTTGTTTTGACGCGGCAGCCTCAACCCTTAAATCCTTAGCGAAAGTAAGCAACCAACACCCTTAAACCTACTAACGACAAATTTCGATATGCATGTTCATCATGTAAACAGTTTTGTTGACCTTTAGTTGGGGTATTTTATCCGTACTCCTTAGTTAAAGAATTTAATATGGAGTAAGACTTAGATAATGCGACTCCTACTCCTTGTCGAAACAATTTATTCGGGCATAGGATTCAAATAATTTCGCTAAAGACAATGATATTATGTGTTTTTTTACGTATTTAGATTCAGTGAGCCGAAACCCGAGCTGTGAGACAACATTGGGAACCCGAAATTCCCGGCAATTAACATTCACTCGATAAAATGACATGTTTGAATAATCAAGTAACACTTATTTAAAAATGGGGAGTGTGATTTAGAGAAGTCAAATGACTTTCAATAAAGATGTGTATGTCCTACGCATTACACAAACAATTTAACAGGGAGGAGGATTTCAACACTATAGTGGCCCTTCATTAAGTTATTGCTGCGTCGATGTCATCTGGCAGCATCAAGTGGTAACTGGCAGGCACAGTGAAAGCAAATGCAAATCAACACTTGCAGCAGCCCGTATTTGAATCATACTCCGTATGCAAATAATTTTTAAGGCTTAGGAATGCCAATTAAACGATTGAAGCTGTTTAATGAAATTGAAACACATGTGCCGGATTCCGAGCCGTGAGACAACTTTGGGAAGCCAGAGGTTGGAAACAATGAATATCACACACAAAATGTAATTGACCCTGAATTAAACTATCTAAGTCCTACTCGTTATTGAAAAATGAATCGTGAGTCAGTTAAATCGGACCTTGTTAGAATTGCTGTTTAAACCCTACTCCCTTATTGAAAAGGTTCTGTAGGGCGTAGGATTTAATTAGTGTACTTTGAAATCAATTGAATCGTTTACGTTAGTATAAATGTGCCGATTTCCCGGCCATTAGAAACATTGGGAATCTGGATTTCCCAACCACTTGACATTGCTTTCAACGCTTTGAAAAGCTTAAATATCTTGAAAAGCTCAGACATTGTAAATGCGCCATTTAATCTCCACCGCTGAAGAAATACTTTGTAGAGACTACGAGATTGAAGTTTTCAATGGTTTGTTAGAGTGTAGGGCGTATATTTTGCGATTACAAATCAATGAAAATACGTAAGTTATAAAAAGAAGATTCAAAGTGCCAATTCCGAATTAGGGTGCTGGCTGCATCGGCTGGCCAGACATTCCGCCCGCAAGAATGCGTCCAACTTTGAACCGCGCCTGTTTTAGGCGACATTTCGTCAGGCAAGAAACAATGCTATGGAACTTGGGCGCGTGCCTTTTTTTGCGGTTTGGAACGAACTTCAAAATTGCATACGTGTATACGTTTCCTTCAGCTTAAGTTCACCGAGAGAGGTCGGGATTGAGCGTCTAAACCATGGACTTGCTGGAGACAACAAATATAACACCAATGACATGCTTATGCTTGCGTAAACTGAGTTCGAAAACATGGGTACCACCCATAGTTTTCGATGGTCCCAGTAGCTGTCCTTCGTCGTTCATGCGCGGGTGTCCCAGTAGCGGTCCTTCGTTCTCATGGACATATAATAAAGGCCTGCAAACCTCGATCCATTTCGTCCCTGCTCATTTTCCGTAGCTACGCTTCAGGTGAGACCTCAAGCTACAAACGACACCGAAACCTGCAAGAAATAAGACATACGGCCGAAACTGTTGCCATTTGCTGCTGTGCAAGGGGGGGGGGGGGGGGGGCCTGGCGTGACCGGATACGCACATATGTGTATATCTATATATCTATATATATATATATATAGATTGCATTTAATGTATGTATGGACAGAGAGGGGAACCCCCCGCCCCTTGTCAGCGCCTCCTTCGCCTTCCCTCTCTCTCTCTCTTTCCTTCGGAGGGTTTCCTCTCTCTCTCTCTAAAATCATGCAGCCGCTCACTTGGTGACATGCAGCTATGCACTTGTGGACCCACGGACCTCGCGCAATGCGACGCGCGTCTCGTATGCCTTGGTCTGACGCATACCACTCGAGCTTGATTGGGCGTGGAACGTGATTCAACAGAGGAACGTATTGCGCAGAAGGCAAGCTGAAACTGAACGTTGCCAGTGACTGGTGGATTCTTCTAGGCAATCCCTGCCGTTTGATATCGTGCGAATTGGGAAGCAAGGCTGCACACAACTTCCAGAAGTGATCGCCACGCTAAATGTCCCTAATCATGCGCCTTGGTTCTGCTTCAGGCAGTGAGATACGGTGAGGCTTGCATGTTTCAGAGCACGAAGCAGGCTCCGAGATCTCGGCCCATAGCCAGCTATGGACGTAGTAGAAGAGCTGCTTGGGGGCAACCTGACGCAGGACTCTCTCCAGCCCAGGCATTCAGACTGAGACCGATTCAAGCAGAAGCCAGGACTCACACCCCAGCAACTCCAACAGCCTGAGAAACTGACAGTTCGAGTGTTGCAGAAGTCAGAAGCGTCTCCAAGATGCAGCTTCCAGATCCGGCATGGTTTCGACAACAGGGCTTTCCAACTGCTAATATCTGCCAATCAGCAAGCAGTTGTGGTTGTCATCAGTTGTCAATGAAATTCTGAAAGACAAGAACGACATCAGGCCGAGGCAGCACAATACCATTGCAGCAGCTGCCGACTGCGAGGGAACTGATCCTGTGCTGTACGAGAAGCACCGCGATTGCACCGCGTGCACCCTCTATAGACTTGCAGTTGAGCTTCGTAATCTTTGCTGCACTTTACCAAAAACAGATGTGTATATTGCATATCAGCCGGTCCCGTCGCAAAAGTCCAGACGATGAAAGCACTTCGACTGCGAGAAGTGCACCCAACAGGCCATCAAGCCTAGCAGTGCTCTGCAGACACGTGACATCACGTCACATCACGTCACACAAACTAACTTTGTCTTCCCTGCCTGCTGTCCAAAGGCAACGCTTGGTAGTACTGCCATAGGTCTTCCCGGCTCTCGCTGAGGAATGGTGTTTGTTCAATCCTGCAAGCAAACGCATGCATCTTGTCATGTCGGCAGTCGGCACTGAATTTGGCCGTCAGTGCTGAATACTAAGCTGGCGGCACGACAGCCATTTCCTGACCGCGCAGGAGCCAGGACGCAACCTTTCACCAAAGACATGTCCTGTGACGAGTACTCGCTTGAAATGGAGGAAGTCTTGGCCAGTTCTCGTGCCCACTGCTTACCCTGGCGGGGTCGTGAGATATCCAAATTTGTTGTGGTGTCGTGCTTTGCTCCTTGTCGTCTGTCAACCTAGCAAGTCTCAGCACAAAGTAGCAAAGCCCAAGGAGCCAAAGAAACCAAAGCCACAAGAGCCCAGAAAACGTCCAAGAACCCAGGGAGAGAAAACAAAAACGAAAACACATTCATGAGCTAAACACACACACACAGACATTCAAGACATAAGCAAAACAAGCGGCAATTTCAGAAGATACGAAAAAAGAAGCCCAAAAGCGCAGAAGCCAGAAACCCCAAAAGCCGTCAACATCCGACACCTGACCGGCCAACAAGCCACAAAAAGCCAGGAAGCTGTGTTCGGAGCTTGAGCGGCCGTCAAATAAAAGTGCTATGATTTACAGCAAGAGTCTCGGAGACTCTCGGAGCCATGCAATACTATTCAGAACCTAAACACGATGACGAGAAATGTGGAAACATGCCCTATCCCAGACCACTGGCAGCATGACTGCCAAGTCTCACGCTTCATGACTTGACAGTATTTTGAGGCTGGGCTTAGCCAGTTCTAACAAACTCATTCTAGCGACTGTTTGGTTCTGGCTTTGGGTCAGTGTTTGTCTGGCATGCTTGTGCGGCTTATGTTTGGTCCTGGCACATACTGGTGCACCAGCAGATCGTCACGACATCGATCGGCTGTTGGTATTCAGCTGGTGCTTCGCACGAACTCAACAGGTGCTCCACAAGTGCTCGAGAAATACAATGAAATGCTTACTTAAACCTTTCAACTGCGCCAGGACCTGCCGCATAGCTGAGGTAAGTGCCCATTGCACGGTTTTGGCCGCCCGCACCTTACCAAGTCCATGCATGGTTAAACTAAATCCCTAGGTACCTTGATTTTCTGCGATTGTGCGGTTCCATGCCAGCTTGTAACACCTTGCACCTTCTTGTGGAGGTTCTGCCGTGCAGAGTGCCCGACATGCGAGATCGTCAGCAAATCCGGGGCCCGCCTCAGTATGTCGGAAGTCTGCAATTGTGTCAGCGTGCCCCACTGCACTCACTACTCCTCTTCGATTCACCTTGCCTTGCATCAATATCAACTCATGTCTCGTGCCTCTCTGGCAGGGCAACTGCAAAGGCTCCTGGGCCAGAGTTTAGCATGAAGAAGCGCTTAGTCGCATTGCAATTCGTTTGCAATATCTTGCATGGGACTATGGGATGCTGCAGAACTGTTTCCATGAGACGAGGTACCTAATTTGCTGGCATCTTCAGAGAAACCCAGTCCTAAGAGCGTACCGGATGAGGCGAGCAGCCTGGCGCTTGACTCGCTTGACTCACTTGACAGGCCAGAGGATGTCACACGCCACAAAGGCGGGCCAGAACTGGCCCACGAATGCTGCGCTGAGCTGCAAGATCTATGCAAGACGATATGCGCAGCACTCTCCAATGGCCTCTCCAGGCCATCTGTTCCGTGAGACATTCGTTGTGGGAGTAGTCTTCGGGACTGCTTCGCATCACACAGATGTGATGCTAAATGAAGCAACGTATTTTGAGACCAGGTAAACAGGGTATCAAGTGCAGGTCCAACTGTGTCCTGACTAAAGACTTGTTTGCCATTCTGCATTTGTTTCGCACTGGGCCAAAACAACGTAGCCAGCTGCAGCAAGTTCGCAACATTTCCGTGCGGCACTTCAAGATGGCAAATTCCCATGACTGCGAAACGAAGCGAAACGGCTTAGGCGCGCACTTGAGGCCCTTCTCCGACCAAGATGCTGGAAACCCACGCAAGACGAGGCTGCCTCTGACCTGGAGTTCAGCAGTTGTCCGCGATGTTCGTGCTCATAATTGTTCATGTGATACATCTATGAGATCCTGCTTTTCAGCCCACTGGACAATGAACCTCAAACCACAACTCAAGATACTCAAGCCTAAGCCCGAAGCCTTAAAGCTGTTGACTAGTAGCCCGGTTCCCCGTTCCAGGCTGAAGTCACCACCCTTATAATGGATTTGATGTTGCAGAATTCAGAAGCCTGTAGGGTGTGAAATCACAGCACCCCGACCCTGAGCCATGTGTCGGATTGCGAGTGGAAATGTGGCTCTATCTCTGCCCCAAATAAAGCAATCGCATTGCAAAAAACGGGGGACCCCACAACCACACCATAAGGGGGTGGGTTCTGACACCCAGATCAAATGAATTCTCCTTGAAGGCTCCTTGCACGCATGAAACCGCACACACATCCAATTGAAGGATGCTCTGTGTCCTGGCCTCTGATGCATGCGTCTCGTGCACGCGGGCCTCATGCGAGCGGGTGCGTTTCGCAGTCATTCTTCCACTTCTGGAACGAGAATTACATGCGGTCTTTGCACTTGGGCCCGGGCCAGGGCTTGAGCTAAAAGCCTCCAGCACTCTTCGGCCTTCCCATGCCCAGATGCCAGAGAATGGCTACATAAACTCTTTCAAGACATTACAAACACCTGCCCTCAAGTAAGTGGTGGAGCAGCCGGGATCAACCAGGGAAAACAATTCGAAGAGGTTCTTTGTTGGTCTCGGGAATGAACGAAGTGCGATGTTGGGGTTGAGGGGGAAGGGGACAGTAGGGAAGGGGTCTCTCACGTGCATTCTACAGATACAACTGGAATCAAAAGAACCCTCATATTGTTTAAGATCTCTAGGGTTATCATCAGCCCGTCAATGCAGGTAGCAGGGAGTCTTGGTTTGCAGCAGAAGAAGTTGCAAGAGTTTGCATAATGGTGACTGCCAAAACTTTCTTTAAGGTTTGAGATATCATCTTCTCGTCAAGGCACTTGGATATCTAGGGCTGACTGCTAGCTTGTGAAACAACGTGAAACAACTTCGGTCTTGAAATTCAAGGCAGACGTGCAAAAAAAAATATACATATATATAGAGCCAGCCGGAAGGCTAGTTTACCGTAGCCTGGGATGTTCACTTCTGGCCTTCGGGCCGCAGCTTCTGTGCCGTGGTGCGTTTCGGAGATGGAGGTCCACAGTAGACTTGGATTCTTACTTGAGACTCTTGAGACTTGCTGCACTGACTGTGGCAGAACAAACTTCCCACAAAGAGGGTGCGAAGAGAAATTCATCGGAAAGTCATCTGCTTCTACTGGCTTGGCTTCCATTTTCATTAGTCTAACTGCGTTGTTCTGGTCTGAAGGATAAATCTAACAGCATAAGCTTGGATCTTGGCATAGCTGGCATAGCTCGAGTAAATCGTTTCTGCATATACTGCGGGCATCGGCTTGGATTTTGCTGTTAAGGCCGCTGTACCAAGACTCCTCGAAATGGCACAGGCTTCTTAGCTTCTATCTGCGTTAACGCTAACTTGCCCATAGTGGCGAGTATGCAAAATTTCAGAGGCTCATACAAGATGGCATCATGCGCAGCCCATGTACCAAGGGCACCCCGGGCCCAGCCCATGTCCGAAACCGCGTCCGCCGCCCCACCCACCCATCGCAACACGACCAATCCCTGCACCTGCCGTGCTCCGTGTGCGGATTGTCCACAAGATGCTCGCGCAACTTGTGCCCGCCCATCGCAAAATGCCCAGGACATCCAAGGCTCCCCACCCCTGCCCCGACTAAATCTGCTGAAGTGAAAAAACCAGACAGCAGTGCCTGTGATGACTCTGCACATCGCGCAGTGAAGATCACGTGCTGGGTTCCTGGCCTTCTCAATTGCAACCGCAACCATAGCATACCATAGCTGCTAGCTATTCGCAAACAAACCAGCAAAGATTGCAGCTGAAACATACACACGTATCGAGTTGCAATGAAGGCCCTCCTCCTCCATACTGAAAGGAGTCGCGTGGCACATTGCAGAAACGCGTAGTGGTTGCACATTGAGGGCTGCACATGCCGGGGACTGGATCGAGAAGTTCCAGGTGCAAGGAGCCTGCGCCGGCCGCCTCCGGCAGAATCTCCGGAGCTGATGGAAACTCTGTCAGCTAATGTCAGCTACATCGAATGTCGATGTCAGGAGATGGCCTGGCCGATCTCCTGTAATCTGCTTCCTTGTGCCCCCTGCAGGTGCCGGAGCACATTGAGGCCGTAGGCACCACGGGTGCCTTCGGTGCAGGAAGAAACCCTTTCCAAGTTGCTGTGAAAGGTTCTTGCTAACATCGGCTCTACATCTCCTGCACATTGAGCCTGCATGTTGATTGCATTTATGTGAGTGGATTTGACACTTCTTCGAGATACTGCACATAACAACAATACGTGGGCTCCGAATGCTACGGCTGTCCTTGGCCGGGCCAGAAAGAATGAGGGAAAAAACCATCAAGATAAAAACAAATACTCAGCTCGGTTTGGGCATGGGTTTGTCCCCACTCACCATACCCCCCCAAATACTTCACTTGCGTTGTGAATTGAAGCTTAGGAGGCGCTTTCCTCGGGTCATGAAGGATTTCGAGCGTTGTGGTCATTCAGGCTCGTGCCATACAATTTGGGCTTCCAGCCCCTGAAACGAGCAGCTGAGTTTTGGATGGACATCAATACCGGTCAATAGTGTGTCTGGTTTACCTACAGACCACACGTTGGTGCCAGCTCGCCTGCTCAGCAGCGCTACATCCAGGTCTTCGAAGATCACCGACAATACCATTGCGAAATTGTAGGGGCCAAGTGGGCAACCTTGCCGGATCCCTGAACCTTACTACACCATGAGCTTTTCCATCCGATCTAGAACGTGGGATCCTGGTTTGCAAAGCGATGATGCGTATGGCTCTGTCTGAACGTCCGAATCGTCGCAAGGCCAATAGAAGGGGATTGTGGCAACAGAATCGAAGGCCTGCTTCCAATCCTGAAACAGCAGATTGAGGGGGTTGGCTGGGTAGATGTCATCTCGTGTGTGCGTATGGGCATCCGCCGAATGACGCCGCGTGAGGGTGCTTTAGCTTTAACCTGGCCATGAACGGGGGACACTCTTCGTGGCCCCTGTCTAGGGCTCCTGGCACGCCTCTAGGAGGCGGTGTTCTGCATTTGGCTGACTTCTTGAGTTACTACCAATTCATTTTGCCTAGGTTTTTTCTCAAAATACACCTTGCCCGTGAGGAGGATAGTTGTGCATCTTCCGAACGTGCCGAGGGATGAGCAGGATCAGCGGTGTTGTGTACATGAGTTGTGGTCAAGATATGTGGTTTAGAGGAGTGGCGCGTTTAGGGTTTACGGCGGTGCGCTGGGGTACAGTATGCTTGTTCACCTAGGGTTACAATCACATTATTTCGAAAGCTCCCGAGTTTTCAAAGGCTCCCAGCTACGCATCAGGGAGATTTCGTCCGGCTTGTGTCGCAACTTAATTTCGCAGGGGATGCAAGCCTCAAACCATCATTCCCTATAGTCCTGCCCCCCCAGAAAATAATGTGAAATCAAAATTGGTCAGGGACCTGTCAACGTATACTCGACTTGCTCGACTATGGTATTTTTCGGACTCTTGGGGTTACCGCGGTGAGGTGGTGTCTATGCATGGAGATGACTCCTGACAGGGCCTGATCGCAGTTTAGCGTAATGATGTGTTAGGACAGGACTCGACGCTTTTTCATGCGATGGCGACAGCAAGCTGCAAACCTCCGGAAACGACACCGTACTCGGCCTCTGAGAGCCCGCTCGGACTCGGACCACGACGCCTACCCAGAATCGGGCAACTGATTTGTTTCGACGATCGATTGCCTTGTCTCCAGCCTTTGAGACTCCGTCGTCACCAGAGATTCGTATTGCCTGACATGTCTGACATTCTTTCAGTTCTTTCAGTTGCAAGATTTCATGGCATTTTTTCTTTCCACCTCCCGGCTGCCCATGGCGGAGCCTCCAACGCTTTGCGCGCCTCCGAGTGGCTCTTGAAGCGCACGTAGGCCTAAAGCGCCAGACGACTGCCACTCTAGCGACTCAAGCGCCTCTAGCCAGTGACAAAGTGTGTTTGTGACTACAGGTCGAAGCCTTGCCACTGGGTCTCTGCTGTGCATCACGGAGCAAGAGCACCTGTGACTTTAGTGCACTTTCTGTAAAATCGCGATGCCGGAAGACAACTCTTGCCTCACTAATGTCACCAAAGTTCCCGAGAAGAAATCTCACACCGTCCTCTGAGCAGATTGCAGCTGTTCGAGATGCGGTTTGCAATGTATAGGACATGGGCATTGCTAAAGCATTGCCAAAGCGCACCTCAGTGCTTGCCTTCGGCGGCAGATGGGTGACAAAGATCTCCCGATCATCAAGCTTGGGCTGCACCTATGCGACATGCTATGCACGGACATGCGCAAAGTGGTAATCAAAGGCATCACAGGCATGCAAGAACAAAGAGCCTCTCGTGGCAAGGAAGGCATCGCCAGTTCATCCATGTAGAGCTGAAACCTTAGCAGCACGTCCGGAAAAGAGGTGCGAAATGCATCATCATGCATCATCCTCAGCAGTTTGCAGCGTTGTCCAAGAAATGCTCAGCTGACTACGAGACGAATGGTTTTTTCGGCTCGGGCTCTTCCTCAACGGGTTCTGCAACAGCCCACCCAGGCCAACATGCTTCCAAGATTTGATTTTCCAGCATAGTCATGGTCCAGCTCCTGCATCACACAGCGCAGCCGGGCCTTGGATGTGCACGGAATACGCAAGTTCATGCCATGCGCGGCATGTTTGCTGCGCGATCGGAACAACATTTGGATTGTTTTGCGTGGAGTTTTTTAAGGTTAATTAAGGCTTCTTATATGTTCCAAGTGTTGTGCAAAATCCACACCGGCTTGGTATTATTCAGAGCTTTTACACACGCACACGCACGCAACGAACCAGACACGCGCAACACCTCACACTCACAACACCACAGACACAGACACAGACACAGACACAGACACAGACACAGACACAGACACAGACACAGACACAGACACAGACACAGACACAGACACAGACACAGACACAGACACAGACACAGACACAGACACAGACACAGACACAGACACAGACACAGACACACACACACACACACACACACACACACACCCACACCCACACCCACACCCACACCCACACCCACACCCACACCCACACCCACACCCACACCCACACCCACACACCCCCACCCACCCACCCACCCACCCACGCACGCAGGCACGCAGGCACGCAGGCACGCAGGCAGGCAGGCAGGCAGCACGCACGCACGCACGCACGCACGCACAACAGACACACACACACACACACACACACACGCACCGCACGCACGCACGCACGCACGCACGCACGCACGCACGCACGCACGCACGCACGCACGCACGCACGCACGCACATACATGCACAACCCAGACACACACACCGCCAGGCAAGGCAACGTTATTCAAACTCTGAATGAAATCGCCCCCAAAGCTCAAGGCTTGCAAACTGCCGGGCAAGGCTATGGTCTCAAGAAACCTGATTCACATCACGTCTGAAACTCAAGGCTTACAAACGACCCGGCAAGGCTCCGTTCTCCAACCTCTGATTGAGATCGCGTCCGAAGCTCAAAGATTGCAAACTGCTGGGCAAAACTACATTCTCCAACTTGCAATTGAAACCGCGTCCGAAACTCAAAAGTTGCAAACTGCCAGGCAAGCCTACGTTTACCAAACTCTCATGGACATCGTGTCCGAAGCTCAGCATTGGAGAGCATCCAGAAAGAACCCAATGAAATTACTATTACAGTCAGAATTGTGTGAACATCTTGACAAAGAACTCCTACATGGAGACCATGCAGTGTACTGTCGGCTTGACAAACAGACACCATCCGGCAACACTTGAACACCCAAACTTGTAGAAAGCAAGAGAGAATAACTCCGTTATTCGAAGCCAGGAGAGAACATAAGGACAGTCTGACCGATTCACGTATTCAGGTGGAAATCTGAATAGAACCAGGGGTTCTTTCTTGACCCATCACGACAGGCCCTTGCATCAGAATCACCTGCCGGTAAAGTGGAAATCCAATCTGTTCCGGTTGTCACCTCTCTTTCGGAAGCATCGCTGATAAACTGGCATTGCGAGTACGCTGGGTTGATCAAACCTAGTATCACCAGTATATACTCGTTCAGTGTCTCAGTTGGTGCAGGACTGAACGGGCTACTTGCACCCCCTGCGAATTTAAATCGGGCAAGCCCCTAATCGTCTGCTTCAGAAGGTGGTTCTCTATTCTGCTCAAGATTTCGGAAGTCCAGCATGATTCCAAACTGAGGGCCTGGCCCCCATGAGCGAGAGCCCATTGAGAGCAGTTAAAGCTGACGACCTCAACAGTCTCTCGCATGTCTTCATGTGTCCTCGCGAGATCAAACATATCTGAGTCGGCCACGCCGCACTCGATGTGTCAAAATCAATCAGCACACCTCTGTGTTGGAATTGCAATGGCTGGGTCCCAAGTTTCTACGTTCACTGCTTCAACACATTGCTCAGTGTTGAGGCGTCTACGGTTCAGGATTAGTGGTTGTCATCGTTACTCGTCAATACACACCCCCATCTGAACAAAATGAACGCCCTGCTTCCCGCAGTCTTCATGCTCGGCAACACTCAGATTCCGATGTGCCCAGCAGTTTCATCACCCTTCGGCACCCTTAGGCCTTAGGATGCCTTCGGCCGATGATTTCAGGACCCTGGAGCCGACATTTTTGCCTACATTTGTCCACCGTCCACAACAGGTGAGGGAGGGACGAGAAGGACAGGGCAGGGGAATGCTCCCTTAGTTCAAAACCTAGGCCATTGAGAAACTGAGGCTCATGCCTCTCTGGCCACTCGCCATGCCTTCCACTCTTGTTCTCTGCACAGTACCATAAGGCCTGAGCTCGCAATGACCCTGCGATGTTCGCGGATGCTGCGCATTATTATCCACATTATTGCGCATTGCTACGCGCTCGTGAGCCAGGCTGGCAACTGGGAAGTTGAGCCCCTGGCGAGGCGAGAAGTTCGACATCCTGACAGAGGCCGGATACGTCACAGCGCATCACGGGACAGAGTACTGCAGATTTCTGAGTACTGCAACTCCACCACCGCCTTCTCGGCCCAGCTATCCGGCAGAGGCCATAAAAAGATGCCGTTTGCCTTTACCCTGGCAATGCCAAAGTGGATTGTGCATGCGCAGCATGCTGCCAACGTGAATGGAAGGAGGATCGAGTTCAGCGCCTTCGTTTCCGAGCCAGCTTAGGCGTGCCAACGCCTGTCTGCATCCAAAACGAGGATCGGAATGCAAATTCCGAACATGTCTCGTGGATTCCTGTTTCAGGACCAGGGAATAGTTGCCGAGTAGTATCGCTTGTAGCGGTACGTACATGTTGGCAAGGAATTGTATCATGTGGCGGGGCTCTTTTGCTGCTCTTTCGCACTCTGACATAAGTGGGTGCTCTGGGATGTGGGGCTATCGGGTGGGCACAGCCTTTCTGCAGGATTTGCCGGAGAGGAGAATAGCTGAGAGAAGGGTCGCCGTATGTCTACATATATCCCGGATATATGGATGGAATGTCCATGCTTAAAAAGCTGGGATGTTCCGGTTGTCGACTTTCATGCGAACCACAAACAGAACAGCTTTTCGAGTGCTACACCAACTAGTGGAGAAACCCATCGTATTGCTAGTGGTTCAAAGATGTTCAAAGTGAGTCAAAAACACATCAAAACTGTCAAAACTTAGGAGGCGGCCACTTCCTGTACAGATCCTGTTTTTTGCTTCAGGCTTTCCGAGGGTACGGAGTTTGCGATCAATTCCGCATGGCCTCGAAACGGCTCCGGCGAAGCAGAAGGATATGTGTATGATAAGTATCATGCACATTCATTACTACTTGTGATGCTGTATGCGCTTCGACTCATGTTGCCAGCCTGGCATGTGGCTTCAAGTAGCTTGTGGGTCACGGGTAGTGTTGAGGGCGGGTGGCACAGAGATTTGTTCTACATGGCCTTTAGCTGTGTTTTGTCGGGTTCGTGGGCTGGAGGACAGGACGGAGGCAAGTAGTGGCATTTTTAGATACATGATTTGGGGGGTGTTGTTGTAGGTGTTCGCCTGGTCACCGGTCCTTGCAGAGGTTGATTGTTTGTGGCGATGGATAGCTTATGCCTGAAAACAAAACCTGTACTTTATCTGAAGATAAGATATGTCGGGCAACCAGTGGACTGATACGTGCCAGTCCGTCAGTGTCACACGAGTAATACAAACATGCTGATGCATTCAGTGCCGTAAGATGCTGGTGCAAGTGGACTACACCCAATCCCGACGCTGCCTGAATCGTCTGCTATTCGCAGACTGAAGCACTCACTCTCCTTTGGAGCCTTCAGAGACACGGCGAATACATGCGAATACCACATTGAAGTTCGGCGGACGGGCGAGCGTAACACGAAGTGGTGCGGAATTTCAGGAGGTGTGCAGCACCGGCAACTTCGCAAAAAACTATGCTCTGCGGCCTCATGGTTGGCCGTCTGCTTCTCAGATGCCGAGCGCATGTCAAACCCATGTAGGGTCTGGACCTGCGACATTTGCGGCACAAGGCGGCGTCAATACGGCACTCGGGCACTCAGGTGTGGATCTCATGAGCCCATGGCGGCAGCCCTTGCATCGCTAGCATTTTGGAACCGAGCCAGCGCCTGTGAGTCATGATTGACCACATGCTGTCAATGCTGGCATCAGTTCGTAACAATCTGCACCCACTGCACCCACTGCACCGCTCTGTGGCTTGGCCTGTAAACCATTTTGGCCTTGTGAGATGACCTAAGTACTCGACCGGAAGCGAGAATCAACCGGAAAGCTGAGCAAGGGCTGAGCAACGGCTGAGCACCGAGCCGGTGGGCCTTCTAAGGGTCCAAGACGCTGCAGCAGACTTTGCACCTTGCAGCTTCTGAAACAAACTTTACGTTAATCCCGTTGAGACAACTACGTCACTACGTGCACGTACGTCTACCTGCGTCTGTCCTACTGACAGGGTGCGCTCCGTGCGCTCTGACGCTGCAGCTGCTCCGAGAACGCGCAAAGGCTTAAAACGTCTCCAAAACGTCTCCAGCCTTCTGCGGTAGGACCTCCAGGGCCGCGGGCACAACCTTTCTCCACGATCTGACGAGTACGTGATGGGTGCTGTTGAGGAGGAGTGTTTTTGACTTGAAGCGTGTGTGTGTGTGTGTTGCTCTCATGAAATGTTTGCTCAGTTGTGCAAACCTCGAAATATCTCGAGATGCTCTTTGAAAAAACTCTGAGGCTCTCTGTGACTTTTGTGGGCCACTCTCCAGTGCTCCAGGCCACCCAGGAAGCCGGAAAGTTCTGAGCAAGTACCGCCTGCACCGGGGCTCTCTCACGTTACAATATGTCGACAATATTCGACAATGATTGAAAAGAAAAATAAAAACCTGAAACAAGTGCGTGTCGTGCATGGTCTTCAGCCAAGCCTTTCCACCAGCGCTGTTTGCCTTAGAGCACCATCACTGGCACCCCTCACTTACACTTCTCCGGCACAAGTTTGAGTCCTACTGGCTCTTGAGGAACTGCATAATACATATATATATATATGTATATATACATATGCGAAGCGCATGCGAAGCGCGCCTGACTGCGGCCAAGGCACCGCTGACATGGCCCAGAAATGGCTGGCGACATGTGCTGCAAGGCCGTTGAGACTTGTAAGTTGAGAAAGGCTTTTCTTCTAGTCCGCAAGTTCAAAGAAGGCTGCAATAGCTGATTGCGAACCGTCTGTGGAGTTGGAGTGCAGTTTGCCCAGACCGGTGCGGGACAAAGGTCTGCTGCATGTCTATGAACGCCTGTGTCAGTTTGTACGTCACGGTGCCCGCATATATCCCCTTACGCCTAAAGAACTTTTGGAATATGTGTTTCTGACATGTCACACATGGTCAAGCATACTAGCTAGTCGCGGCTAGTCCACAGAATGTTCGGGGAAATCAATTCGGGCTACTTCCTCCTAAACGCAGCTGCAGCAAAGCAAAACCTGAATCCACATCCTGTCCAGCTCAGCTTTCTCATATCTTTGTAGCATTCCGATGTGTTCTGTGTGGCCGGCTTGTGTTCTGATTGGATTTGGGTGTGTACTTATGACACTCGGGAACTAATATCTAGAGGTAGAAGATCGCAGGATTGCAGCATGTCAGGGCTTTTCAGGGCATGGGCGTTTCAGGGCGCGTGCGCCGTGCGCAATGAACGTTCATGAATGAACGACAGCTTTCAGGAATTTGGAGCAACGCTTGGGACAGACAGCATCACCAATAAATCATAACACCTCTACCATGCTCCCTGCGACAATCTGAATGTGGCATCGCCTGGGAATACGCTTGTGCCCCTCCTATAACCATGACACCCTGATTTGTAAAACCGAATTGTCACAAGCCCTGTTTGGTTTCGGAGTTGGAGGGAGCACGTTAACGCACATCACGATATCAAGATGCACATCACCCAAGTACGGGTGCTGGTCAATTTCACTTGCTGGTGGCTAAGTCTTCGAAGCCCGCCGCTGCACGCATGCGGATCCCAGTACAGTACCCGGAGTTACAAAACAAGAAAGGATTGTTGACCTCTGCTGCTACGACTACGCCGGATGTGCTCACGGCCACGGCAAGCGATGCTTCACACATTATGGAACACTCCAGGGCCACTTACCGTCCCGCTGCCAAATGCAGGACCCAATGTAGTTTCACGTATACCCGAAACACAAGACCCCGCGTGTGGACGCAGCATTGGCCGCCGGTCCGGTTAACTTGGATCAGTGCCAGGCTGTGGGCGCAGGTCGATATGTTTTTACCAAGAACGATGCGAGCTAAACCCCACGAGCCGGAACCAAGAAGCACGGCTTTGTAATTTGCCCCACCTTATTCTGGACTCGGAACGCATTATGTAGATTCTAGGTCCCAAGTACATGTTTGGGTCGTAGGAAGTTGTTTTCGAAATTGTTCGACGTTTAGTCAGCGCCGTTTATGAACAACTGTACATAACATAGCTCTGCTTGTCAGTTCATGCGCATGATTTCGCCATATTTGTGCATCAACTCTGCGTTGATCGTTCCTCTTCTCGATCTTGCTATGCACGCTTTTGCCACCCTGACATGACCAATCTCGCCTCACCGAGGGTGAGTGACAAGGTTCGGGCTGAGTTCGCCATGCGTAGAGACAAGGAGACAGCTTGCAAGGGCTGAAAACATACCAAAGCGCAGGACTAGTCGCTGTCAGGTCTTTCATGGAAACGCAAGGATTTCCGACCTTCTGGATTGAGGCTGCGGGATGCTGCGAGGCTCTGGCATCATGGGACTGAATGGATCAGGGCCCTACAGTACTGCAACGGAAGAACTGGCCATTGCAGGAAGTACACAGATGTACCGTCGGCCTTCAGCTCTACACTTGACGCGCACCTTTTAGCTTGCAACTGTCAGTGGCACTATGGCACGCTCGCGAAGTCAGCACCAAGCAGCCCCTGCACAGTCTCTGGCACTGACAGTCCTGGAAAGCTTTTGGGCAAAGCACAATCAACCTTACGCTCTTGCTTTGATAAGGCGATGAACTAAAACGCTGATGGAATGATCTATACACTTAGGCTGCATACATGCGAGAAAGCCTGCAGTCCAGACACATGCTGCTGATGGCTGCCGGAGACAGGACATACCAGGACACTTCACTGCGGCTGGCTCTCGCACCCATTTCTCACTATGGTGATCTTGTGGGATCTTGCGGAGTATGGCACCGTGAGGATGGATGGGTGGGGTGGCGCGGTACTGGCATCATGGCTTATGGGGCTTGCCCATGCTCCCCCTGCCCATGCTCGCCCGAAAGAACCTTTGAACAGAGTCACGGCAAGACATTCGACAACATCCGAAGCCCGAATCCACCGCCCCCAAAGAAAGTGACCTTCGAGCATACCGAGCAGGGCTGTGCTACCCCGAATGTGCTACTTCGACAGCTGACCCACACCCCGTGCCCTCTAGGGTTTCACATCGTGTCACCACGTTGAGTCGGCTCTCGGCAAATCGCAAGCTGGGTGGCAATTCCAGATGTGCTCAAAATGCAGTGCCTAATGTTCCAAAGCCGCGCGCATGGACGTGAAAAGCCCAAGAAAGTGAGGCAGATCAAGCAATGTAGAGACAGGAATCAGTTTGAAACATGCTTGAACACGTTTGAAGCACTCCTTCAGGATTAGCAGGAGCAGCTCCTCAGAAATCGCGAGCTTCTGAGATGGCGGCCAGTATGTTGGCTGGCAAACTCACAATATCTCACAATTGCTAAGTTTGTTGCTTCTTGGGATCCGAAGACACAGACGACGGATCTAGCTGAACTGTGGGCTGCGTCGCCATATCAACGTTGGGCGCCTCATTGGCACACAACTTTTTGGATGTCGTGATGCATGACTGAACGAATGACACGCACCTCGTCCTGTCCGGGCAGAGCCTGTGCCAATTGTCGGAAGAGGCCCTTGATGTTGGTGCCCATCTGACAGGAAAGCGGGTTTAGGACTTCAGGCGAGGTCCAGGTCGAATTGTGTGCACCAACGCAAACAAAAGAGGATGAAAGCTTCGTTCAGCCCACGTTTCTGTAGCGCGTCTGTCACCGTCTGTCGACATTGCACGCACACGTGAAGCAGTTGCCGAAGCACCCAAGGTTACAACTTTCCAGCAAAAAGCTGAAGGTGCCAAAAGCCTGTAGAACTCAAGCAAGTTCTGCTAGGAGATGCAACTCCATCATTCAGCCCACACTCTCCTCAATACACAAACAAGTGAAAACAAACATAGATGACAACTTAACCAAATGGGTTTGGCTGGTGAACCTTTCGTTGCACAAGAAAATTCAAGAGTGACTTGAGAGCATTGCGGATTAAAGCGCAACTGCCACGGTACTACGTACATCACGTACAAGATGCTCAAACACACCTCATGGGAAGTGCGCAGTTTTCTCAGAAACAGACAAACAAACAAAACTACACGCCCGGTGTAGTGGATGTGCATGGGGGTGCGGGTGTGTGGGTGTGCGGGCTGGCGCGTGCCTTTGCGCTTGTCTCGATGAACATGACGCCATTCTCCTGGGGCCACACGGTTCGGGAAGCAGTAGGCAGTCGTTTTGCCTTCGTGACTTTCGCTCATCACTCCTTGGCCTTTTCCTCACCCTCTTCCATGGAGACTTGCCGTCGGTCTGCCAAGTCAGTCCTTTGACTTCCAAGTCGAACTGACAAGTCTTTCACATTGCAGCCACTGGCATCACGAGGCCCTGTCTTGTTGCCAACAAGTATGATGACGACATCGTTCCCTCTCTCGCTTCGAACATCCTGCATGCTCCATATTTTCACAGAGCATGCGATGCAATCCGATGCCAAAGAAAGCCAAGCACGCACCCATCCTCGATCCACTTAGAGGTATTGAGGAAGGAAGCGCGATTAGTGATATCATATACCTTGGCGGCAGATCTGGTTCAGTTGCATTGCGTGTGATACTGCGACACGAGGCTAGGTCAACCAACATCAGCGTTGAAATGCTAGGCTCATCGCGACAATGGCACCTGAAGAATCGCGGATGTAGCTGGGAATCAAGCTGCGAAAGCGTTCCTTCAACCCAACAGTGGGAACTGACAGGTGCAGTGCATGAGCTAAACACATACCTGGTGCTTTCAAGGCAACTTGCGCTAAGCATAGCCAATCTCGGGACTGCCTGCCCCGCAGTGTCCCACAGCTGCAATCGGACTGTTCGATCCTGAATGACCCAGCCGTCCAGATAGGCAAACAATCGACACGAATCTGCACAGCCTCTAAATACATTGTCTTGCTCAAAAAGTCGATGCCGATCGTTGCCTCTCGCAGTGATCAAAAACAAAACGGGGAACAGCCGGAAACATCTGACTGTCTACAGACATCCGGCAAAGGCACTGGACCCAAAACTGCCAATCAGCATGCTGGCCAATACCAGCCTGGTAGTTGTTGTCGAAGGTGTCATACATGAAACGCGTGATGACCTCTGTCAAAGGAGGAAATGAGCGATACGAGTGATGGCCACATATACACCGTGAATATGTTATATATATATATGTATGGTAGTATCATGAACATGCACGCACACATGGAGAAGTAAATGCAAAAATGTGTACATACATATATATATATACATATATATGCAGCGACGGACAAAATCACGTTACACAGTGCGAGGACGCGGAATACCATATTGTCGCTTTACGTGGGCCCATATCGCTTTACATACTATGGGACTCCGGATACATGTGTCTGAACGTGCCAACTAATGTTATCGCTTTAGGTGGGGCCCATATCGCTTTTCATGGTTTAACAACTCGTGTCCACCGTAGTACTGGCTTAGACAAACATAATTTAGGCAGGCGCTCATATGATGATTCATGTACATATCATCACCGATGAAGGCCAGCGAAACTTTATGTAGTTAAAACACACGCCGGGGCATGGGAGGCAAGGAGCTGTGGGTGCAGGTTGCAGATCTAGCCATGCACCCTTGCACTTTCAGACTTTCTTGATGGAAAAGCTGAGGGCCCGACAGAGGTCTTCCCGACAGCTTGCTCCCCGAGGAAGACAAGCTTGTACTGTGCACATTGTGAGCATCGGGGGATCGGTATAATCGGTATCGTGGAAACAACTACAAAAACTAACACTGTAGATTCGCAGCTCAGGTAACATCCTTCAGCACCCATGATGCAGTTGCAGCCAGCCGCAATCGGTTCGATCGGAGGGGCCGGTTGGTGGCGTGTTTTTTGGCCATCATATACAGCCGGCAAGTATGCATCAAGTAGTCACTGTTCGGCAGCTTCCAGCCCGAGCAATGGTAGAAAACACGGGGACAGACGTTGAGAGGGACATTCTCGGAATATTGCTTGGGAGTGTGGAGGGAACGCGCATGGGCAGCAGGTCCTGGGCTCTCGATCTCGTGACCAAGTGAAAGTACTTCCAATTTTGACGAACTTGAACTTGAAGGGTTGGCACTTGAAGGGTTGGCACAAAGAGCCTTTATTGTTTTTGCTCTCTTTCGCCCACTTGCTAGGCCCGTCACTGCTGTTTCTGCCACAGCGACAGCTTGACCCTGCTATTTTAACATGATGTGACATACCCCTGCAGCGGACAGCGGATGCAGAACGCCCCGCATGAGCCCCGCACCCCAGCCTTTGAGCATGGCTCAAAATGCTCAAAAGAACACAAAGGCATAAGCAAGTTCAAACTTTGTTTGATATGGCTGAGTATCATGTTCTTGTTTGACCGCATGCCGCATATTATCTTGCATAGAGAGCTGGGATTTGCTCTGGGAACGCTCGGGGTCGGGGTGCTGTTACCGGACAAGCTCCTTGAGAACACACTACGAGTACAGTGAAGGATGCGGTAGGACCGCTGCTGTGACGCTAAGACGGTCAGGAATCCTGTCAAGTTACTTGGTTTGCGCTTTGTCTTTTCCGCCAACAGCAGTGTCATTTGTAGTTCAGTCGGCCCTACAAGGCTTGGCACAACTGGGCTGCTGCTGCTGCTGCTGCAAGCCTTCTTCTGTTGGCCCAAGACGCATAAACGCTGTAAATACCGACATTTCCGACACCCGCCGGCAACTGAAAGCCAGGCATGCAGAAGACAGCGACCAACGCCCACGACCGGAAGCAACAACAAATAAACAAAAACAAAGGAGGAATGCGGAAGGCGGAAAGTGCTGTAAATACCGAGTATCCCCCTCCAAAAGGCCCGAAAATGTTGTTAATACCGAGGAGTCCGAAGCAGCCCGTCCCGCCCTCCCAACAGAAACGGCGAAAAATTGTAAAAACTTTGTTTTCGGTGTAATAACAAAAACATGGAAAACTGCCCAAAACACCGCAAATACCGAGATTTCGAAAAACACCCCCCCCCCCTCCCGCCAAAAAAAACGAAAAAGGTTCCCCGCCACCCCACCCCCCGCCACCCCAACCCCCCCCCCCCCCACCCCCCACCCCCCTCAACCCATGTGAAAGTGCAAACCCTTCGTCTGCCAAAAACAACGGGCTCATGTACATTACAAGTACTTGTTTTTGAATGCAAGGGACACGTCAGGGGCCTCCATCTTCGAAGCTATACATTGTCTTGATAGGTTGGGGGGTTTTAGAAGGGCACAGCATTTGGTATTCTAGTTGTCGTGTGGTTTTTCGGAGGGAACGCATGGTGATCCTTAACTACTCTATCTTAGGTTTTAGGTCTTCTGCACGCTGCGAGGGTCTCAGAAGGGCGTGCCGCTCCCGAAAAACCCCACATGGTGAATAGTTTCTGGGAGGAGAAATAAAATTCATGCGCGTAGGGCGTAGGGGTAGGGCTTGGAGACATCCCTTGAAGCCGCAACCCATATCCCACTCAAGTATAGAGCCGGCAACTTCGTTTCAGGCTCGCTCGCTGTTGTTGTTGGTGCTGTCGTGCTGGCAACGACAACTTGAGCGTCCTATGCATCGGTTAAACTGGCACGGAAGGATTCGAGTTGGGCAAGGTTAGCTTGGCGCAACTCGTGGCGACCAGCGCGGCCGTGTCTTGCGAGCGAAAAATTCCAGTGTCCCTCCGTGCGCTGGTGGCTCTGCTGCAAAGGCCATTACCCCACCTGACCAGTACGAGGACCGCGTCCCCCGACCTGCCCTGCGACTTGTCTGCAAGATGAGCTACCCACTCCTCACGGCGGACGCTTACAGTGACCTGCGCACGCCTTCATCTGCAAATTCGAAAACAACTGCACGCCAGAAGCTCGTTAATGATGTTCTTGCTGCACACATGCCGGGCTTCCGCAAGCGTGAGGGAGCAGAAGGGCTTGAGGCGTAAGCGCTGGTAAGCTCCGAGGTCAGATGACTTCTGTTGCGAGAAGCAGCACGAGGGCAGGGCCGGGGGGGGGGGCACGTCAAAGAAATGGGGCTCTGTCGACTGGGCATCTGCATCAAGACGAACGTCGAAGAGAAAGCACTCGTGAAAGCGCGGGATGTATGGATCCGATGCTCCTACACTGACGTCATGTCACATCCCTACACTCTACACACTACACATCTCATCACCCTGGAGCTGCGGAAAGAATTTACCGAAATGCCGGATTCTCAACTTCAGTTTACAGACATGACATAACAAGCTACTTGGGGCATACGCATAGGAGAGGCCCCGGCCAAGGCGGACAGGACATGTTGCGCAGATTTGCGCAGCAAATTGCAGCAAGAACACGTAGCAACAGAACGCAAGCCTTGTTTAAGCCTGTGACGCGGGCCATTCCTGCTTCCGCCATGGCTTAGAGGACTCGATGAACGACGATTTACAAAAGTGTCGCATAGTGTCGCTATGTCTGTGCGTAGCTTGAGACAGGGCATGTTTCTGGCTTTAGAAGGAAGAGCCCACGTCGGGAAGCACTTGCAAAAGTTGACGTGAAGGTGCACATCTGCTTGAAGAAGGCTAGTCACGGCTAGTCGTTGTCGTCGCTTGAATCAAAATTCAATCGCACAGGTGTTGCGTAGTCAGGGTCGGCAAGATGCACAACATTCACTTTGAGAGGCTTCCGTTTGAGATGAACTTGACCATCCTTTTGCGATGAATATGAACAAAAAGACGAAGGATCTGCTACCAACGCAAAGCAAGTGCGACTACGCGTGCCTGACAACTTGCCGGCGTGGCAACTAACATTGGAAGACGGATCTTTCTAGGTTTCATGACAACAACCACAAATAGCAAGAGTTCCTGCATCTTATGGCTTCTCGGTTGCGGCTGCCCCCGGTCCGGTGAGGACATGTGCCCTGAAGCCTGCAATGTCATGCAAGTTGGGGGCAGTGGCTACCACAAAGCTGGACGGCCAGGGTGCCACATGCCCTGATCCGTTCGGTTTGCTGATTTCAACTTACTTCGGCACGGTCCACTTACAAAGGAAAAGGTGTCAGCCCCCAACGTTGTCGCAACGCACATGTTTCCATAGGCCTTCATGCCTGACCCTGAGGACGAGCAAGAACGAAAACAAATATGAAAAGAAGTCTCTGCATGTGTCTGCTGTTTTTGCTAGAACAAAAACAGCTCTGAGAGTCAAAGAAGGCCTTTGGGAAGCGATAAGACGCCCCGGACCTGAGCTTGAAAACCCTCCGCACCCATTGAGCCCTTGCGAGCTCGCCATGTCCCAGCTACAAAGGCTGTCCCATTGGCTTGACGGTCGTTTAGGGCTTTCGAGTTCGGAGATGTGCGGGGTTGAGCTTTGATCCGTATTTGGTCGGATTTGAATGGATTTGACACCAAGGTTGCCCATGTGCTGCGAGGGCCCCTGGAGCTGCCGCCGCCTCCCCAAAATCGCTGAGAAGATGAATATCCACTTGTTCACGAGGCCTCATTGCGCATAGCCCGTGTTGTTGAAAGAAATCCACGTACCTCACGTACCTGGCTGCGTGTCTAGGTGTGCGTTTGAGTCACCTGCAGCGTTGTCATGCTCTTGCTTGATTGCTCTTGCTTACCGCGCAGCGCATGTCTGTGCGGCCGCATATGTTGCACATGTTGTGGTGCGTGTTCAATGGTTGACCCTCAAGCTTCCACGTCAGCCAACAGTTGAGGGTCGTTTCTGCTTTTGATTTCCAGAATTTTGCCCCACCCTCCCACCGCAAGGAGGGTTGCGAGTTTTTTCTGTGTGCGCCGCGGGGTTTGTGTACTTGCCCCCAGCACTGAGTGTCATTTCAGCCTCACATGCACAACATGTCCCTTTCGGATCTGCCCGACTCTATCATCGACCCCGTGGCTGGAAAAAGATCGATGCGATCGAGCTCTCCAGTGTGCGCATGGCTCTCTGCACTAGATTGGACGGTTTCTGCTTGCAAGTGTTCTACACGCAGGTATTGCAACAAGTGCTCCTTATTTGTGTCACAGCGCAGGCCCCTGCCCCGTGGACTCTGGGCTGCTTAACTTTGGCACCCCTGCCAAATCAGGTCTGTATGATTGTATTATCTAGTGCCTTCTTCTCTCAGGCACTTGCGCCGACCTCCTTCGGTGTGAGGCCTTCTGTTCGCGCGCCGCCCTTAGAAGTAGGAGCGGCCGACAACATCCCGACAAAATCCGACAGCGGCTACGGTAGGCGAAATGGAGGTCAAGCGAGTTTGCACACTCAAAGCCTGAAGGAACATAAGGGGAACAAGTAACTGGACAGCACCCATGAACCTTGCTGATGTGAAATGGATCTAGCTGGTCGGCTGTTGCTGCATGTTCGCGAGCCACACGTCATGTAGTGTCTCGACTGCCGACGCATCATAGCCAGCAAAGCCGAAGTGCAAACTGAGAGTGAGAGACGCGAGAACTGACTGCTCTCAAAAGTGGAGCCAACATGTGTCAACGAGCTGCCGTGAGATGTTTGTTTCAACTTTGTCAAATTCAAGACATGCCAAGCTTCTCATCTGGGTAGTTCTCTGAGTGAGGGTGCACAACACACAAGGAAGACTCCATCACCCACTTCTTTTGTGCCAGTCACAGGAAGTTGGCGCGCCGATACTTTCTTCGGGCCTGTTTAGAGCAGGGCTCCACTAAATACGTCCGGAGGTTTCAGCACAGCCTGCCTTGTGAGCGCAGCCTGGATGGCAAAAGGCAGCCTTGCAACACAAATGACATGTCGAGGCTGCGACCCGACTGAGATACAATGTTATAATCTGCTGCAATATGTTACAAGAGGGTCAGCACCAGGGGCAGTGCCCCCAGCAATGCCGGTTGAACGGACTGCTGCTTTCCTGGCCAGGCGCCCGAGGTGAAGACTTACAATTTATATAAGCAGCGTCTGTCCTTCTGCAGGTTCTTCGGTCGGCTTCGTGGCTTCGGTCGGCTCTTCCGTGTTGCCTCCCTCCTTCATGTCCGCCTCCTTCAGGCCTGCCTCCTCTGCCTCCTTCGGAGACGGTGCAGCGCCCGCAGCGCCCTTGTCTGTCTTTGGAGCTTTGGGCAAGCTTCCAGCCGCTGCTTCTGCCGTCTTGGTGTCCTCGCAGACAATTGAGCCAAGAAGATGTGCTGTGCATTGTGCACAATTTGCACACAACTTGCACAATTTGCACAATTTGCACAATTTGCACAATTTGCACAATATTACACAGCATAACCGCATGGCACCTCCTCCGGACTGCAAGAGTCCAGCTGTGTTTTGTAGAGCTGTAGCCTAAGCACTCGATCACATGCGGTCAAAATCTGCGCTCTGCCACATGCTCCAGAAGGCAATGCCTATCACTGGATAGCTTGTGTGGAATGGCCGGATCCGCTGCTAGTACATTGTGCAACATTGTGCAACATTGCAACCAGGAAGCCGATCAAGGAAGCCCTGGTCCTCGAAACCACGGTAACAGTTCATCTGCTGGCATTCAGCAGAGTCCTGTCGGGAAACAGTCCCAAATCGATGCTCAAGCAGATCGGTGCGAAGGATTGTGGCTAGCCGGGCACAAAGCTTCTCAGTTCTTGTATCGCATACAATGGCAGAAAGATTTGCCCACACTACCTATTGGCACACATTGTTTCACTCCAGTACCGGGAATTGCCGCAAGCCAAATAGGAATGGGGGGTCGGGATGTTTCAGCTGAGTGTGCTTGGCTCCGCCAACTTCCCCGGTTCCCAGATGTTCGCACTTCCGTCTCCTTCTTTTTGTAGCACTTCAACTCATCCCCGCCCTCTGTCTTGCCGGAGGGGGCAAAGGACTCCTCAGACCGCTGATTCGAAAGCTAAACCTGGCGGACACTTCTCGAGTCTGAGGGCATGGCCTCCTCAGGTCTGCCAGCAAGTTTTGCAGCTGTGTCCTGCATGTTGACCTCCAGCAGACTTTCTAGCACGCAGATCCCAAAAAATGACTATCCAAAGAGTGTTTAAGGCGTGCTCATGTCATACAGATTTGCAGAATCAGAATCAATTTGTGATTCAGAAACTAGGGGCTAGTTGTACTATTCGTTGAATCCGCCGAGGCCTCGGGCCGAAGGTGTAGGTAGTCAGAACAGGCACCCCCCTCCAAATCCTCTTCCTCCAGGCCCAAAAACCTTTTTCGGACCCCTTTTTTTGCCTGAAATGCAGTTGCAGCCCTTCCCAGCAGGGCCCCCCCCTTTTTTTCACCCCTGACACCCCTCCGCCCCCCCTACCCCCCCCCCCCCCCCTACCCCCCCCCCCTCCCCCCCCCCCAACCCCCCCCCACCCCCCCCCTAACCCCCCCCCCCTCCTACCCCCCCACCTACCACCCCCCCCGCCCCTGCCCTTCCCCCCCCCCCCCCCCCACCCTACCACCCCCCCTACCCCCCCCCCCCTATCCCCCCCTACCCCCCCCTTTTGTCCCTCCCCCAAAAGCCAAATGAGCGGCTGGGCTCGAGGTGCTAATGGACGCAACAACAGGGGCTTGATGTTTGTAGGTGTCGCTCTAGCACACCCAATGGTTCATAACCTAGGGGTGTCGCTTTTCAAGTGTTCCCATCGTTTTAGGGTTTTGGGCATTCGTGTCCACCCCTTGCTTAATTGAATGGCTGGGGGTTTTGGCGCTTGCTCACATAAGGTGTTTGTGAAAGGCCCTCCCCCCACCCCACCTCCCCCCACCCCACCTCCCGCCTTAAACCTTAAGGGGCCTGGCTCAACCCTACGATCACTCGAAGCCGAACCCTAAACCCAAAAAAACCCTCAACCCCAAAGCGTGAACCTTGAGCCCTAAACTAACCCTCAACCCCAAACCCCCAAACCCCAAACCATAAACCATAAACCCGGAACCCTCAACCCTCAACCCTCAACCCAACCCTTATTGCTTGGGGTCCAGCGACTTGGGCGCTGCGGAATCACCATGCTCACGCGGATGCGCTGGGCCGGGCCGAGGCGGGTCGCGTAGCGTTAAAATTAACGTACCAAATGGTTTGCAACCTAAAAGACTTGAGCGAGTTGAACTTGTAGGGTCGCACTCTTACCGGTTAGATGTTCATTCCCTAAAGTTTGAAGGCGAACGACCGGAAATATTGGCAGCTACCGAGATCAGCGCTGTGCCAAATAATAGTTCTCAATCAGGGGGCTATTTTTGGGCAATGTCAGCTAATTTTCCTACGAAAGTACCAAATGGCTTGCAACTCAAAGCAATGTCTTGCCATTGAGCCAAGCGGACTTTACGGGTTTGCTCTCTGTGCCAAATAACCGCTAGAATCAGGGGCTCGTTGTTCTCAACAAAAATCAGGGGCTATTTATAGTAGTCGTTGAAGGAGAGAGAAAAGAGAGAGAGAGAGAGAGAGAGAGAGAGAGAGAGAGAGAGAACAGAGAAGAAGAGAGAAGAAGAGAGGAGAAGAGAGAGAGAGAAGAGAGAGAAGAGAGAAGAGAGGGAAGAGAGGAAGGGAGACAAGAGAGACAAGAGAGAGAAACAAGAAAGATGAAAGAAGAGATAAGAGATAAGGATAAGAGCGAAGGAGAGAGAAGGAGAGAGAAGGAGAGAGGAGAGAGAGAGAAGAAGAGGAGAGAAGAGAAGGAGAGAGAAGGAGAGAGAATTGAGAGAGAGGAGAGAGAAGAGAGAGAGAGAGGGACTAGAGAGGAGAGGAGGGAAGAGAGAGAGAGAGAGGGAGAGAGGAGGGAGAGAGAGAGGAGAGAGAGAGAGAGGAGAGAGCGTAGAGGAGAGAGAGTGAGAGCGAGAGGCAGGGAAGAGAGGAGGAGGAGAGAGGAGGAGAGAGGGAGAGAAGTAGAGAGAGGAGAGAGAGGAGAGAGGAGGAGAGAGAGGAAGAGAGAGAAGAGAGAAGAAGAGAGAGGAGAGAGAGCGAGAGAGGAGACAGGTGAGAGAGGAGAGCGAGGAGAGAGGAGAGGAGAGAGAGAGAGAGGGAGAGAAGAGGGAGAGGGGAGAGAGAGGAGAGGAGAGAGAGAGGAGAGAGAGAGAGAGAAGAGAGAGGAGAGAGAGGGAGATGGGGGAGAGAGATGCTAGAAGGGAAGAGAGGGGAAGAAAGAGAGGAGGGGGGAAGGGGGGAGAGAGGGGGGAGGGAAGGGGGGGAGAGAAGGGGAAGGAGAGAAGGGGGAGGAGAGAAGGGGGAGAAGAGAATGGGGGAGAAGAGAAGGGGGATAAGAGAAGGGGGAGAAGAGGAGAAGGGGGAGAGAAGGGGCAGAGAAGGAGGAGAGAAGTAGAGAACAGAAAGAGAGAAAAGAAAGAGAGAAAAGAAAGAGAGAAAAGAAAGAGAGAGAAAAGACAGAGAGAGAAAAGAAAAGAAAAAGAGAGAAAAGAAAGAGAGAGAAAAGAAAGAGAGAGAAAAGACAGAGAGAGAAAAGAAAGAGAGAGAAAAGAAAAAGAGATAAAAGTTGCAGTCTGAAGGCTCCAAACTCTACTTGCCCAAAAACCTCTATGTTTTCGTGGCAAAACATGCAAACATGTTGTGTTGCCAAAAAAGAACAAATTCGATGTCGTGGTGTGCGTGTGTGGGGAAACTGTGACCTAAGGACGGTCCGACTTCAAATTCAAATTTCACGCGTGTTTCTGCAAGGGGGCTCTCGGAGGGTGCACTTTTGTTTTTGGCCCTTTTATTCGCCTCGGCTTCCTGCCGAGAAGCGTCTGGAACAAGCAGACCCGGATCGGGCCTCCTTCCCCCTAACCCAACCCTTCCCCACATGCCAAAATTTTCTGACGCCAACCCCCCCCCCCCCGAACTGTGGGACCCACCAAATCCTTGGAGGAGCTGCAAACCGACGAGGGGAGGGTCCCGCTTTGTAGGTGGCTCCTAACGGGAAGGCCTCAAAAACCCCCCCGAACATACCCCGGCAACCCCCCCCCCACCCCCCAGCCCCCCCACCCTCACCCCCCCCCCCCCCCCCCCCCAACCCCCCCCCCACCCCCCCCTCACCCCCCCGCGACCTCCCTCTGTTGCGAAACCCTCTTTCCTCCTTTCCTGTCCTGGGGCCGGCCGGCTGCCGAGGCGGCGCGCGCAAGCGTTACAATTATGTTTGTTTGGGCCTTTTGTGGGGGGGGGGGGGGGGGGGGTTTATTTAGGGTTTAGGGTTTATTTAGGGTTTAGGGATTAGGGGTTAGGGAATAGGGATTAGGGATTAGGGTTTAGGGTTTCGGGTTTAGGGTTTAGGGTTTAGAGGTTAGGATTAGGGATTAGGGATTAGGGAATTATAGGGTTTAGAGAGGAAAATGAGGAAATTGTGCCAAAAAAAAGGCCAAAAATGAAAAACAAATAAAGGGCCAAAAAGAAATGGGTCCCCCCTCTCGGTGCCTAACTGGGACGGGAGCCAACGAAGACGCCCAGTCAGAGCTTGCGAAGCAGGGATGGACGCATCCTTGTGTAGTTGCAACGTTTTTCAGCTTGATTCAGTGTGTGATGATTAGGAAGCTGTGCGTTGCAGTTATTTGCGAACATCTCGAGTCCCACAGATCGTCATGAAAACTTGCGCGTGCACGCGAGAGTGCGTGCGCGTGCGCACGCGCGGGCGGGTTTGCAATACAGGCTGATGCTCACGAACTGCTGCTCAAGCCATAAACAGCTTGGAACTTCAACAGCAACCCCAAATCAACAGACACGTCCTGAGATGTTTGCAGCAGAAAGGCAAACAGAGAGGTGGGCACGTGGAGACGGTGCCACATATACATATGCATATACATATGCATATACATATGCATATACATATGCATATACATATGCATATACATATGCATATACATATGCATATACATATGCATATACATATGCATATACATATGCATATACATATATATATATACATGTCGAGGTGCTGCAGGCTGTGCTCTTGGTGTGCTCTGCTTTTTGGGCTGCCGGCGCAGTCAGCAGCAAGGACTTGGAAGCGGCGTACTCGCATGAGACCCAGCTGTGTCTGCTCCTCACAATATCACAAGAGTTGCTCCAAGTTTCCCCCGTGCGTCGGCCTGTGTCTTCGGGCTTAGGATTGCAAGCCAAAGGGCTTTGGTCAAGGATGGCTCTTCTCCAGGAGGTTGAGCGCCATCACAAACAAAGGGAGCTCCGTCCTGGACCTGACAAGCACGGTACAGACTCAGAATCGAGGGACCTTCTTTCGATCTCTTCAGTTGCTCGTTTCGGAAGACTTGTTTACATCTCGGAAGACGGGCAAGGGCACGCCGAGCACGCGCGGGGCTGTCCAGAGCGTGGGGCTGTCCAGAGCCCGGCCTTGCTGCGGTACTCTGCATCGATTGCTGCCTGAGAAGCGGTGTGATTTGCCTAGCACAACAGACGCAAATCCTTGCGGCTGCACTTAACTGATTCAAACTGATAAGTCTAGCGCTCGAAGCTTGTCAAGTGCGCCCTGAATCTTTGGCGCTTCTTCCTCACGCGAGCACAAGTGGGACACACTTGGGGCGCTGGGGGCGAATCCTGTAGTCAGCAGTCCTTGTACTTGAGGAGCCACTCCTCTCTATCGAACTCTTTCACAACGCCGAGGCCGGAGTGCGGATTTTCGATGTCAAACCTTCACGAAGTGACATGAAGCGGCACTCGGCTTCACACACTCACAGTGACGACAGCGCTTCGCTCTTGTGACCTTCAGGCTGGGACGGGGCACCATCCTTTGTTCTCATGAAGTAGTGTGGAATGACCTCTGTCAGCATAGTGCTGGAAGCTTAAACGGCTAGGCTAGACTCTGGCTAGACATTCTTGCAGGAAATTGCACCAGCACCCCGCGACGAGAGGCTGAGCTTATGATCTGACGTTGCGACCACAATGGTCACAACAGCAGAAAGCTACGTAACGTCCAAGACGTGCCCAGATAACCTACAAAGTGGCGAGACCAATGATCCCTCTTCGAATCTCAGGATCTCGCAGTCATCAATTGGGGCTCGTGACCCAGATTGGCTTTGCTGGACTCTGTCTCAAATCGGCCGATGACCTTTTCGTGGCCACTTTCAAGCTCGGTGTGCCTCAGCGGAGCCAGTATACAGGCTTTTGCTGGGCAATCCTTATTTACGGGCACAACTCTTAGTGACCCGGCATATTTGGAGATCCACGTGCGATGCAAATGCAATCACCATCGTCAGTGCACCTGCGTTGTTGCAGACCAAGCATGGTCACATGGAGTGACATGAGGTCACAAACGGGCAACATCTGCTACATTACATGCCGCGAGGAAGATGCCGGTACGCTTACACAGGAGATCTGACACACTAGTGGAGGGCGAAGGGCTGGTCGTCTCCAGGACCACTTTCATATCTGTTCTCGGTCCATTCCTGAAATCTCGGCAATGCAAAGCCAACAAACACTCCGCCGACTGTTACTGCGACAGAAAATTGCTGTCACGACAGCTGCTAAGAGCTAAACTCCTTGAAATGGGCATCCCCACTCGTACACCGGAGCCGAATTGGCATCCTCAGCCTGAGAATTCGTTGCTGTGGCATCTCTGTCTGATTATTGCAGATCGGGGACTGTACAATTTTTTCTTTTCCAGGATCCACTTGGCCCCAGTGGCCGGTACCTCAACATTCCACATGTGGCTTAATGGCAAGCAAGATATTTCAAGCTGCTGCTGTGGACTCTCACAGCACCGAGGCAGCAGCCAAACTTTGAAATTCGAGACACACATCTGAAACCTTCCTCGCAATGTCCATCGCCCTCAAGGTGAGAAAAGCAAGCTGACACTAAAGTGACAACTGGATTCCACTGGATGGACACATCCGAATGCCTGACGCCAAACATGGCTGAGGCTTGCTGAGACATGAACGCTTTGGAAGGCCGTGAAGGTGCGTGCGACCTTTAAGGGCACAGCGTCCGCTTACATGACTGCCCTGTAGCGGTGATCTTGCTTGTCAAGCCCGAATCAAACGTTTCGCCCCACCGATCTGAGGACATCACTTTTGCACCACTCACATGTGCTTCTGCTTCAGACCAACACAATGGCCAGTTCACAGCACGGGCGAAGGAGGTCCACAGAGGCTTCTGAGATGCCAAATGAGACAAGCAGGGCGGCAGCTCCTGACGTGGGAGAGAAAACACACACACACACACACACACACACACGCGCGCACACACACACACACACACACACACACACACACACACACACACACACACACACACACACACACACACACAACACACCACACACACACACACACACACACACACACACACACACACACACACACACACACACACACACACACACACACACACACACACACACGCACACACGCGCACGCGCACACACACACACACACACCCACCCACCCACCCACCCACGCACGCAGGCAGGCAGGCAGGCAGGCCTCTGGCTGCAAGCTTGCTGGCATTCGGCCTCTTTGACCCACGCAATCGGAGCGCACGTGCCGGCAGCAGACTTGCAACAAATTCTGCTAGAGGCCTGGCATGCTTTGGCCGGGCTGGCAGACTAAACGACAACTGTTTTTTGCGGCTGGACTGCTCCTGAAGTTGTCGATTTGGTGTTGTTCCACCCTTATACACACTGATCAGCGAAGACTACGCTTTTAGAAGAAGGAAAGCGAGCTAACATCCACCGATACTCGTTGTTCTTCAACCAATCTCGAGCCAAAAAGTTCACGGACAGCGCACCAAGCGTCCCTCCGTGTCCTTCCCATACATCGGCCAGCACTGTAAAGCACTGTAAAGCACAGTACAGCACAGCAGGGCACTGTAGCGGGACGTGAAGTCGTGCTACAATTTCTTCCGAGGGGAGGACTGCCGACATTGAATCAAATCTGCGTGAACATGATTGAGCATTCACACATGACGTGGGCGAAGGGCCTGGACAAAGGTGGCGGCCCGCTTAGGCTCCGAGATGCAGATGCTCCGTGGCCACATAAATCGAGGTCTCCGAGTTTCTGATGTGTAACGAAAACCGGTTGTTGAAACACTTAACCATCTTAACCAACGTGCACCATGGCGCAAGGCTCAACAGCAGTGCGCCCAACTGGCAAGAGCTGCATGGTGGAGGCCCCATAATGATGTCAGACCCCTTTTCAAGAACAAATTCCAACGAGGCAAACGGCCCACATCCTTGCACCACCCGAGAGAATCTGAAGGTATGGCTTTCGCCGTACAAGCAGCTACGCGCTTCTGCAGCATGCAACTTTCTGAGGCCCAGGTGGGCTAGGAAAGCTAGCGAGTGTTAGCATGCGAGATGGTAGCGCGAAGCGGCGCAACATGCCGGCTTGTTGCTTGGAGTGCCTGTGGAGGACTGAAAACGGTTTTATAAATCCAGACAGATGAGGTGGGATTAAGACCGGAATCAACCCGGGATCGGGTAGTCAAAGCCAAGCCACGGTCTGGCTTAACCCTGCTAAAAGGCAAAGATTCCAGCCAATCTCGCGGGTGCGGGTAGGAGTATGGGGGTGTGGGGGTAAAGGGGGCACTCTCAAAGTTCAGTTACCACCCAACCCCAAAGTGCCCCACCCAGCCCCCGACCCTCAGGTGTCTTGATTGAGATGTCCTTGGCAACACTGAGAAGTATATGTGTGATGTATAGATAGATACATAGCTAGATAGATAAATAGAAAATGCTGGTGTGTACACGTATATAAAGACATAAGCTTCATGTAAGTGTATGAGTGGCGTGCCTGCATTTCCAAACACACGGTTTTTTAAATGAACAAGTGGTGTGTTTAAAACCACCTCGTTTTCTGCAATATTTCATAATCTCCGACCTTTAAAGTATGTGAACGTTGGAGGTACCGAAGGACGGACTTCTACTGGGACAACCGGTGCCCACGTGATCTTCCGCGCTCGAGACAAGGACAGCGGCAGAGTTTCCGCCTTAATGCAGTATTGTTTATAACGGCACTGACCTATGTATATTGATTGAAATTTTAAACGACCCGATAACAGTATAGGAAACTTCAACAATCAAGCTTGCCTCCAATTATGTGAATCAACCTAGGGAAGTGACTTACACTTTGAACTCAGGAGAGCTGTTAGAAGCAAAAGGCTTATTCAATAAGTTCGAGTCATAAAGGTTTTCTACAAGTTAGAGGCCATTTGTCTTAAATGTCTATTGCTAGAAGTTGATTTGAAAAACATGTAAATATGTAGCCAAGAATAAGAAAGAGTAAGTTGAAGTAACCAAAAAAACTCCTCTTGTGCAAGTTAGAGTATCAAAGGATAACCAGCAAGTTGAATCAAATGTTGAGTCACCTTTTTGACTAAGTTGCAGTTGCGAGAGTTCAAGTCGAATATTACAATATTTGACCCCTAGATATGCATGTCAGATAAGTTAACTTACACTTTCTACTTCACTTGGCAAAATCGGCAGTCAAAGCTATCGAAAAAAGAAAAAGCACCATAACATTCCCTATTCTGCAGTTTAGGTAAAGGCCCATGTTACGCATGTAGGAGTTGTCTCTGTGCATGTCTGTCGGCACAGCAAGAATGTCCGGTGGTTGCTTTCGAAAAAGTGTTGTGGGTTTATGTTTGCTGTCGTTCGTTCCTGCAGCAGCCGAGGCTCCGGGAGGCTATGTCTTCATACCAGCGAGCATTTCTTCAAGAAAGGAAAGAACGAGAAGTTGAGTTGTCTTGCATACAAGCATGAAGATACACGGTGAATCCTACATGAAAATAACACCAAAACAACTATAGCAGCAGATGATGCAAAGTACGGTACGTGCGATAGAGACCCGAGTTGAGTAGGTCACGTTGAGGGGGCTAAGATTAACGCGACTAAAGTCGCAACGTGCTCTAGCTTCTTTATTGCTGTTGTGTGTGAGTCGGGTTGGTTCCGGGTGGGGAGAGTCTATATGTAATATGGCTCATATCATCGAAAAAATAAGCTCTGCAAAAACACAGGCCACACTGCGGCCCGCTCTCCAGAAGTACTCGAAGCGTGCCGAACGCATTTTGCCTCTTGAGTTGCGTTTTTTACCGTGCTGCCTCAAGGTTGCAGCCGATGTAGACGGTCTCGTTAAAGGCTCGGCATATTGGTTTTCAACCTTTACAAAAGCTTGTTGCATGGAAGTCCAACTCCGTAGACTAGGTATTGTCCACAGGCAAGCCTCTGTGTTGACCTGTCCCCCCCATGGTTTCCGAGCTAGTGCAGCCGTTTCATCATGACCCATGACCTTGGATACATGAGCTGCTTGAATCGCCAACGCACACTGGACGTTGTGGACGTCTAGGCCTGTGCGGTGGCAAGGTGTGAGACAAATTTGGCTCCTGTGCGGGGACTGATTTCTGCTCCAGGGTTTTGCTAAAGTTGAGTATTGGGAGGGTATCTTTGGTCCATGTCAAAAAGATTTGTGGGTTCTGCCTCACATGCGACCGCACTGCCTCGATCGTAACGTGCTACCTCGTTTGATGCATCATCCATGCGTGCTGTCTTGAGTCTTGCTACAAACGTGCTGCCTCGATTTCCCGTGATGCCTTGGGCAGGTGCGGGCACCGTACCGAAGCAGAAGTCCGATGCTTTTTTGACTTGCACGGTGTTGGACTACGCTGTTGTGGGACAACATGAGCTTGGCCTGTTCATCAGGAAATAGGGTTTATCTCCAGAAAACCAGAACTTCCAGAATATAAGCACAACATTGCATGGTTTTCTTATGACTTTCTTTTTGGTAATGCCTGGCTTGTTGGGAGGATTTGAAATCATTTTGTACCTATCTCTCAAGGGTCTCCAGAAGTGGTATATCCTAGTCATTAATTCGTTTTCCTACTTTGATTCTTGTACTTTCATATCTTTTCCTAATCCTTTCCATACTCTCAGAATTTGGAAGTGTTACAGGATGAACAGTTTTCCCCCAATATCCACTTCTTTTATGACTTTATCACCTTCAAGTACAGGAAATCTTATGTTTGGACTGTCAATCTCTGAGATATATCTTCATGTCTTACATCTCTTAATTTTCGGGACGACGAGATCTTATTATCTGACATTAGACTACCCCATTGTTACCTTGATCTTTCTTGATTACGGCTTTCCATGCTTGTTTGTTAACATTGCCAGTCGTATCACATCTGTACACTTCTTTTCATATTGAGTGGTTTTCGTCCTAAGACACTTCTCTTTGATCCTATATTTGGACGAGATCCTATATTCTATCAACATCTGTTTGACATCCAAAAGCTTACCAATAGATGTTTGGTTGGGATTGCTTGCAACATGTTCCAATCAAACATGAATGTTGTTCAAAAAGTTGCCCACTTTTATTTGGAACGCTTCGTTGTTGGTTTCCAAGCTTAGATTTTGCCGTATTTGCTCTCGCTGAGTGTGGGGGGGTTGGTGAAGACAGAGAGAGAGATAGAGAGAGAGAGAGAGAGTGAGTGAGTGAGTGAGTGAGTGAGTGAGAGAGAGAGAGAGAGAGAGAGAGAGAGAGAGAGAGAGAGAGAGAGAACGGAGGAGAAGAGAGGGAGAGAAAGAGGAGGGGACGAGTGCGAGAGAGGAGGGAGGGAGGGAGGGAGGGAAGGAAGGAGAGGGAGGGAGGCCAGGCGAGGGGAGGGAAGCGGGTGGGGGAGGCGGTGGGAGAGGGACGGGAGGGAGGGGGGAGCGGGGAGGGCGGGGAGAGGGAGGGGAGCGGGAGGAGGGGAGGGAGAGGGCGGGGAGAGGGACGGGAGAGGGAGGGGAGCGGGAGGGGAGGGAGGGGAGGGAGGGGAGGGAGGGGGAGGGAGGAGAGGGAGGGGAGAGGGAGGGGAGAAGAGGGAGGGGGGGAGGGGAGAGGGGAGGAGGGAGAGCGAGGGGACAAGGGAGGGGAGCG